AAAAAAGAAGTCGTTGAATTGGGCTTCAAATTGATTTATATTTATACCTGGAACTTGTCGTATTTGCAGCCATATTTGTAATCTTAGAAAGTCCCGTATTTACAGCCGGATTTCTAATATTTTTCGGAGAATCCTAAATAGGAAATTTCGGCCCTTCAAAGAATTATAAATCCATAAAAAAGAAACGAAATTATGTCATCCGGAGATTGGCAATCGGATTAATTCCGTTGCAAAAGATCGTAAGAATACTCCCTCTGACTAACCAATAAGGAAATTCCGAAAAAGAAAGTATTCTTAGGCATGACTAATCATAGTTTCTACACTGGTATTTGGTTGAACAATTGTTTTGAAAGAGAAAAGGCAGTTCAGATAGAAATGCGCTGGTCCGTATGGGCAAACTCACCACGACAAACACACTCGATAAACTATTTTTCTAGTTGTTGCTGCTACAATAGATACCTTAACTGTCAGTATGTACTGCCTTCTTGAACTTCAGCAAATTGTTAAACAATGAAGGCTGCCAATTAAGCGAATGCTCCATCGCCGTGGATCTCCCATTGAGTAATATTTCGGTTCCGGATTTCATGAATCAATACGTTTCAGCAATAATGGCTCCTTTCTATTCTGTTGCTAGATAGGATTTTTGCAATCAAAATAACTATAGAGATAAAACATAACCTCAAGCTTGAAATGATGAATTACAGATGACAATTAAAAGAAGATCACTAAATGACTATTTATTCTCTATAAAGCAAGCTATCCTAACCTCTTGGTAGACGCTTAGAATCCCAAACATAGACCATTTCATCCCAGCCCGTAGTAGCAACCCATCCCGGCTCACCCCATAAACTGTAATCACATCCAATGACAAATTCCTTATGACTTCCAAACACTCCTTGTAATCCCCCTTTATTAGTATTCAAGAAACGAGCTCTTTCATCCGATTCATCAGTCCACACTCTCGCGGTCATATCATATGAAGTAGACAATAATTCCTTTGCATTATGAGGAGACCATTGTACCCTCCTGACTGCGAATTCATGTCCCACTAGGTCGTTTAATGGAGTTGGTCCCCTGACATGAGATGCTGCCATTGGACTCGTGACTAACGGTTGATCAATTTTGGAAATCATACGTAAATCCCAAACACGTACTGATTTATCGGTCCCACCTGATGCTACAACTGTTGATTTATACTTGTTCCAATCACAGGATAATGCTTCCAATCCTCCATGAGCAACATATTGCATTTGTAATGGATTTGGCGCTCTGATATCCCATATTTGGACCTTTGAGGCTCCGTTACAACTTATTAACATAGATGGGGAATGTGGGGAGAATTGGGCTGAATATATACAATTGGCAGTGTTTATTTGTGCAGATTGTTGATGTGCTTGTTGATGCGATAATGGAGGTAAATGAGTCGATGATTGTGCTGCTGGATTCGTTGCTCTGGTGGTATAGTCAATTGAAGCAGGGTTTAATGTCAATAATGAGTCTGGACGTTGTGGCGTCCATATTTTGATAGATCCATCCCAACTTGAAGATACAAAACTTGTTTTATCTACAGGATTCCATTTAACTGAAAATACTTCTCTTTGATGTTCTTTCCAATTCATGACTGGGAATTGTCCCACTGTTAAATCAAATAATTTTATAGAACCATCTCCACTGGCAGTAACTACTTGATTTTCATGTATTTCACTCCAAGCAACATCAAATAACCCATCTTGAGTCTCCCATGATATTTGTTCTTGAATATTTCCATTGGGTTCTATTCCGAGGATAAATAATCGCCCATTTCCAACTAATCCATAATTGGCAGATGTGGCAACTGCTATTTTGTTATCGAAGAAGGGTGAGTATTGAACTCCATACCCGTTGTATCCTTTGGTTCTGAATGCTAGCATAAATGTCTCTCTGTACTGTCAAAGGAACTAGATCCCCAGGAATGATAAAAAGATTTCTAATGAGGGGCTCGGAAAAAATTGATGGACGAAAAAACCATATTTGCAACGGGGCCGATATTATGTACCGAGGAACTTAGGTCGGGCTCAACCATTTTGTCTCCGTAGTAAATTGATTTTAGGCTGCGAAAAAAAAATCTGAATCTATGAGTTTATTTATTAGCAGTATTAAAATTATTTATATATATACACAAGCTACTAAAGATCGAATAAGGAACAGTCCAAGTATTTGATTAAATCCCAATTCTCTTTATCGATTTCATTTTTATCCATTAATCCAAATTGGATTAAATCACCCATAACCAAAGCAATTTTTTGATTAGAATATTTTATATAATCAAATTCATCATCAGATGAAGTAATGGCACTTTCTCCATCAATAGTAGTATCACTATCCTCATCGTCGAGGATTGCACATTCGAGCTTTTGAGTAATGGTATAAGTACCATCTATACCAGGCTCCGATTTGGAATCTTCCTTTTGCATTGGTGTTGGACTTGGAAGAGGTCCATTTTGGATCAAACCCCAGAGACACCAATAGATTTGAACAGTGGTACGCCAGAAAACACATTCATTATAAATCTTTTCAATTTCATATTGGATGATATCGACGGCATTTTTATTGTCGTTGATGATGTCTTCTGGTCTTTTTGAAGTTTTGAGATTTGATGAAGGATATTGGAAATCATATTCTATGTAAGATTTTAAAAGATTAAATTGTTCAAGTTTTGTAGGATAATTTTCATGGAAGATAAAGTATGATTTAGTTGGATGATAGTAATCTGACATCCATTCTGAGAAATGATTAGCGATATCAAGTGCAGGGAAATTTGGACCAGAATATTCAAAATCAATAACAGCCAAATTTGCATCTTTCTTGTGGGAAGTTGCCATAAAATTAACATCTTTCAATGAAGCGAAAGATGTGGCTGCAGATGATGAATTTGTAGAACTGTCAAGGATTACTTCTTCTGGTTTGAAGGATTCATGTAATAACAAATTACCATATTGAGTATCATTATGACAGAATTTGTAATTGGCAGTAAAGGCATCAGTATCATATTTGTTAAACAACCAAGATTTATATTTTGCAACCAATTGTTTAAATTGATCAAATTCAACCCAGAAAATGGATTTAGGATCTAAACCTGCTGCTTTATACGATGGAATATAAGTTTCTTCAAACATTTTCATCCATTTTTCAATTAATCGCCAAGAACTAGGTAATGGAGTTAAATCTTCTTCATCTAATTCAATTTGATAATGTAAATCTTTCATTCTTCTTCCTAACATTTGAGAAATTACTGGATCTCTAATTTTTTCTTTATTTAAAGTGACAAATCCTTCTAAGAATTGTTCAAATCTACCATTTGAAAATATACCTAATAATCTAGGACCAATTTTCTTTTGAGATAATTTAACTAAATTTGCTAATTCAGCATCTCTATCAATTAAAGCATCGACATTTCTTCCATATACTCTTAATAATAATGCAGGTAAAGTCAAATTTTGTTGTTTATCAATATATTCTAATTTATAAATTGAATTAGTTAATGCACCAGATATTCTATTAATGATTAAATTGGAAATTGTTAATTGACGTTTATGCCATTTACTAACTCTTAAAGTTTTGATTAATGCCAATATGTCTTGTTTAAAGAAATCTAATGGAAGGGTATTATCTAAAGTTGCGTGAACTGAAGGAACAGTACGTTCATCTAGATGAGTTGGAGTGACAACAAGTTTAGTTAATGAAGATGCAGATAATGATCTTGGACGACTTGAAGATGATCTTCTAGATCTACTACCTGAGCGGGAATTTGCAGAGGTTCTTGATTTTGATCTTGAAGGGCGACTAACGATAGGAATGACTTCCATTTTTGAAATGATTGCTGTTTTGTTATGTAATTTAACAGGTTACGTTGCTTGCTATCGGCTAATGGAAACAAGTGGGAAAAGAAAAGGTTGAAGATGGAAAACCGACGTAAATTTATTTTATTTTCTTCTAAAATTTTTCTAGAATAAGATGGAAATTGAAACAATACTCGTGTGCCTAATTTCCCGTTTTATTGATTAGGAAATAATTTTATTGTTAGTTGTTGAATAGGAGGTGGCTGATTATTATTAAAATTTTTTTTTATGTGTCAATAAAACAATGAATGATTTGTTATTAATTTTTGGTGGGAAATTTTTTTTGGGCCGATGTCGTCTTTCCATAATAGAACTGATAAGTTATCATCTGGTTACGACATTTTTCACTAAGATAACAAATTTCACATGCAAATCGGCAACAATCTACCTAAAGTAGACCATCACATAAACAGTCTTGTTGGGAGAAGGCGCGAGAATTATAATTCGAATAACTTTCTGAATTAGTTTGGTCATTAGAATAGCAAATGTTGGAGATTATTAATTGTTGTAAATGACTAACTGATGTTCTCTCACAACACTTAATTCTTTAAGACACTTATTCATTTACCACACTTAATAATCTACAACACTCGATGACTTTTGTTATCTTTACAGCACTTAATTTTAAATCACTTATTGTTTTATAACAACTTTTACTTTAATATACAAGAAGTATTGCAATTGTCATCGTCTTAACACCTCCCCGTGATGTAAGCATTAGTTGCTTAACCCAATCTTGTCAATTACATCTTTCAATTTAATTCTTTTAAAACCCCTAGTAAGAATATCTTCTAAAATGAAATGAGTAGGAATATGTTTGAATATAATCTCACCTTTGATCACATGATCCCGCAAGAAGTTAATTTTAACTTTACATGTTTTATTCTTGCATGGAAAGCGGGATGATTAGCCAAGGTAAAAGCTGAATGCTTGTCAGTATACACAATAATTGGTAAATCAATACCAAAATGAGTATTTCCAAACAAATATATCAACCAGAGCATCTACTCTCCCTTCGCAGGTCAATTTTTCAATCAGTAACCCATGTCCATCAATAGCTAAATCAAGCTTCCAATGTTGATTGGAAGCAAACATAACTTCAGAATAAAAGGGAACCCATTTATAATATTGTATTGAGATCAAGATCATATCGACGTACCTTCATGTAGGACCAATTGATAAGCAATCCTGATTGGCAATGAACCTGATTCAGAACCTTTTTTGGGGTTGTTGTAAAGATCTGTCTACTTAAGTAGATTTGCAACAGTTGAGAAAAAACTAGATGCTCATCTAATTCAGAAGATCATAATTTGGGAAAAGTACACGACTTTGTTTACCTTTTTATAAAATTTCTTAAATCCTTCAAGTCTGGACAGGGGGGGTGTGGGATCAGATTTTGAAGACGAGACGACTAGCTATCAAGAAAATAGTAGTGTGTAGTCAACACATTCAAAACACACAACACCCCCTCCTCTTAATCAGACGAATCCCACATATTTCCACAGATTTGTTTCGTCTAATATTTTTTTTTTACTTTATATCCCCCCTTAACACACACTCTGAACACACCCACACACGTTTGTCTTACCATAATTTTTTTTTTCGCTAGACCATTTTTTTTTCAGATTGAATCATTAATTCATTCTATTAGTAACCACTTCAATTAAAGAAATATAATTGAGTAACTATGGCTGAGTATTTAGCTGCAGCTGGGGTATTATCCACAGCCTTTTCAATCAAATTATTCAGTACTAAAGCGAAAGAATTGGATACCGTAAAGCATGATCTTGAATCTCAATTGGTCCAAGTTAAACAATCGCTGGATTCAAAAGCCAAAGAATTAGACCAATTACTTAAAGAATCAAGAGAATTTAAATTGAAGCTGGATGGTGCTCATAAAGAAGTCGTTAAAGATTTAGAAACGAAGATTAAAGAATTAACCAAATCCAAAGAAGAATTAACTGCTTCTGAAGCCCTGTTAATGAAACAACTTAAGAACCAATTGGAAATTGTCACTGGGTATGAAAAACAAGTTAAAGATTTAGCTTCTGAATTAGAGAACACCAAATCAGAAGTAAGTAAATTAGAAGAGAATTATGAATTCAAATTGAATGCTCAAATTGAAAAATTGATTGCTGATAAAGATTTAAGAATTCTTGATTTAGAACGCACTTTAGATGAAACCATTACACAACTCACCAATCTGAAGAATACTATGAATGAATTAGAAGCTGCTAACAACCAATTGATTCTTGAGCTCAGACAATCCCTTGAAGAAACAAAACGTAACCTTGAAGATAAGACCAAATCCTATGATGATTTACAATCCCAATCTACTAAGCAAGATGAAGAGAACAAAGAAACAATCAAATCCCTTGAAGAGAAGATTTCCAAATTAGAAAATGATATTGAATCTAAAGAGAAAGAATTACAAGAAGCAAACAATAATCTCAACGATTCCAATGAAAAAATCTCACAATTAGAAACTGAACTTTCACAATTGAAATCCGAAAAGGATCAATTGAATGAAGATCTTTCCAAAGAAAAAGCAACCAATGCCGAACAAGTCGAAAAGATTTCTCAATTAGAACAACAAATCAAAGACAAAACCGACGAGATCCTTGAATTAAACGATCATGTTCAGAACTTTGAACAATTCTACTTCAATTTTGAAGACTTACTTTCCGCTTTGAAAGAAGTAGACCCAGACGTACCATCTTCAGTCTTGGATACCGGAATTCAAACTCCAGCCGATACCGAACTTGAAGAATCAATTGAAGTAATTGAAGCTGGGGATGTCGAGAAATCAATTTCAAACAAAAGTTCTACTGAAGGATTTGAAGTGGTACCTAGAGTAGTTATTGACCGTCAATTTAACCTCAATGGGACTATTCAAAGAGTTCGTGAATATATTACTTCTCTTCAAAGTCAAATCCAAGAAAAGGATCTTAAGATTGATGAATTAGAACTGAGGGTAGTTACTATTGAAAAAGAAGAAACTCCAGTCGAAAGTGAAGAAGAAACAACACCAAAATTGGAAGTTGCTGAAGCTGTTGAAGAAGAGTCCAAAGAAGGTAATGAAAACGAAACTACCGAGTCTGAACATCAACAAGAAGGTGAGCAAGAACATGGCGAAGAAGAAGAGGATCAAGAAAATGAAGGTCCAAAAGAAGAAACCTCAAGAGATATCGAAGTCAGTCCAACACCAGAAGAGGTGGAAGTAACGGAATGGGCTAAAACCGTCGTGGACAGCGAACAATTGAGACAAAAGCTTAATGAATTGGCAAAAGAATATCTGAGAATGAAGAGAGAAGTACGCAATACAGTCGAACTTGAACAAAAGACCAAAGAGATCCAGCAATTGAATGCTACTATCCAAGAATTAGAACAACAATTAGAAGCCGCGAAGAAGGAGGAAGAAGAACAATTAGAAGCTGCCAAAAAGAAAGAGGAAGACTTAAATGCAGAAATTAAGAGAATGGAAGACGCAAAAAATGCAGAATTAGCTAAAAAACAACAAGAAGCTGACACTCGTGAGGAGCAACTTAAGAAAGATGCAGATGCGGCTGCCGAAGACTTGAACTCAAAGATTGCTGAAAAGGAACAAGCTATAAAGACTATTAGTGACGAAAAGAGCATGGTTGAAGCACAATTGGCAACAACAACTTCAAAACTTGAAGAGGCAAAGGAAAAAGAAGCACACTTTGAAGACTTACAGGAACGCATGGATAAAATGCACAAAGATCAAAGCAAAGAGCTTGAGGGTGCTTTGAGCACTATCAAGGAACATGAAGTAACCATTGGGAAGTTTAAAGAAACAGCCAGTCAATTAGAGACCGAGAAGCAGAATTTGAGTAACGAGATTACAGAAAAGCAATCAACCATCGATCAATTAAATGTGCAAATCGAAGGGTATGTTTCTGAAATTAACCAATTGAAGGAACAAAAAGACTCATTAGCTAAAGAATTGGAAACTGCAAAGGAAGATGCTAAACAACAAGGTGAAAAGGTTAGTGCCTTGGAAAAACAAATTGAAGAAAAGGAAGGTGAATTAACTAGAGTGAATGAAGAGCTCAAGGGCAAGGAAGATGCATTAACCAAGTCTCAAGAAGAGTTCAAGGACAAGGAAGCTGAATTAACCAAGGCGCAAGAAGATCTCAAGGGTAAGGACGCTGAATTAGCCACCTCTCAAGAAGAACTCAACAAGAAGGAAACCGAATTAACCAAATCTGAAGAAGATCTCAAGAGTGTCCAAGGTGAATTAGAAGAAGGTAAGAAGACGGTTGAAGAAGCTAAGAAGAAGATAGAAGAAGTTACCAGGTTAGAAGAACAGATCAGTGGGTTAAAAGCTGAGTTAGAAGAAGCTAAGAAGAAGGGAGAAGAAATTCCCAAGTTGGAAGAAAAGATCGCAGGCTTACAAGATCAATTAGAAGAAGCTAACAAGAAGGCAGAAGAACTTGGTAAGCTTCAAGAAGATCTTAGACTTAAAGATGAGGAACTTTCAACTTTAAAACAGGATGTTCACTCCAAGCAAGAAGCTTTAACCAAAGCTGAAGCAGATCTTAAAATTAAGGAATCTGAATTGGAAAAGTCTCACCAAGAGTTGACTGAGAAAACTGACAAATTAGCCAACGTTGAACAACAATTGAAGGAAAAGAATGAGTTAGTTGAAAAGATACAACAAGAAGCCAGCTCATTAAGAGATCAGGTTCAAACCAAGCAACAAGACTTAGATAAGTCTGTTGAAGACCTTAAAACCAAAGGAGAAGAATTGACTAAAGCTCAAGAATCACTCCAATCTACCGAGGAAGAATTGAACAAACTCAAGGAATCAAAGGGAAAAATTGAAAAGCAATTAGAAACACTTAAGGAAGAATCAAAAGCTAGTAAAGAATCTGCTTCTAAATTTGAACAACAAGTCAATGAAAAGGAAGATGAAATCAAGCAATTAAAGTCAGATATTGAGAATAAGACCCAAGAAGTTCAAGCTAAAGAAGGGGCCTTAAAAGAGTTGCAAAAGGAAGTTTCAGAAAAGGAAGAAGAGATTAATGGATTAGGTAAAACAATCCAAGACAAGGAAATTGAATTGAATGAACAACAAAAGATCTTGGATGAAAAGGTTGAAGAAGTCAATAAGCTTGAGGAAGTTGTTAAGACCAAGGATGAAGAAATCAAAACCAAACAAGAGCTTATTAAAGCCAACGCAGAAAAGATCGAGGCGTTGGAGAAGTCTAAGCCTGCAGAAAATGGGGATGGAATTAAAGCAGGTGAAGGTGAACATCAAGATGAGACTCACAATGGTCAATAAAATCGACTGCCAACGTAAACTACTCATGCTATTTGAATGTAATGGGATAATTAATACATGTTTTTATCAAATTTATAGTTTTTAGTTAATACCTTTATATTTTTATAAGTAATTAGTCTGTGTTTTTAGATCGACTACTAATAGATTTTGAATTTGCAACCAATTTGAAAGACAAACGACGTCGAACTTTCTGCAATATCTTCTGTTTAGATCGTTCCAGAACAATTTCAGATGCAAACTGGAATAGTTACGAATTTTTGTCGATTGGTCACCTTGCATACTCTTTATTATGTACCGAAGAAGGAGACTCTCCTTCCACAGGGATGACATCACCATCTTCTCCATTGTCTTCTACTGAGAAAGTTACTTTCGTATTGCAAAATAATCTAAAACAGTGAGGAGGAGGGGTGGAGCAATCTCATCTCATCTTAACCTCCTCATCGCTTCCTTCGGAGATATGAATTGGGGTAAACCTCCTGAAACATGCAGACTTTAAAAATATCTCATGTAGCTGTATATATCCCTTGAAATTGCTTTTGAGTTGTCCAATAGAAATTTACATTTAGGGGGCTCTTACGACTCAAGTGTGACTAAAAAAAATTTATTTATCTCGAGAATAGTTTCGAGTCATGCTGGTTTCTTTTTAAGGTTTTGATGAATATTCAAATTGTGTTGGGAACAAGCGAGATTTTAATATTTATGTATGGTAACGGTTCTATCGGATTGTAGAACAAAAAGAGATCACAGAATCTTATCTTTATAGCCCCAATATACAATATAAGATAAGAAAGGATGAGATGAGGAGGATTGTTTCCGGAAGGCTGCTAGGGGGGAATTATTTTTTCTTTTCAGCTCGCGTAATGGTTGCAATCTCGGACGATGATAGAAAATAAATAATTTTTCATGCTATTTTTAGCAAGCTCTAAGCAAAAAATTATTTTTTCTTGCTTCCGGTTGTTCTGAACAGGGACTGACCTCGTATGGGCTATGATGATACGATCTGAAAGTATAATTCCTTAAAATAAAAGCAAGGCAAGTTGAAGTAATTTCTATTGAAGTTGATTTCAGTAATAAAATGTTATCAGGAATACAGTTTCTTGAGACCAGTGCTAAGTAACCGAGAAGGCCGTGGAAACTAACGGTAAAACTGCATTATTCAGTTTCAAAAGAGACAATAGGGAATTGACGACGAAAGAGGTTATATTGTTTTTTTTTTGCAGGGAGAAGGTATGGAAAAATAACCTGAATCGAAGGATTTCCTAAGGGGATGTGGCTTGCATTAGTTTTTTTTCTTCTGACTAAAAACATGAAATCGCTTTATTTGGAAAGGAAGTTTCAGTTAATATTGGGAACGAGGTTCAAAAACCAAGCACTTTAATTTCCGGTAAAAATACATCATTCCTCTTTAAAATTAGGCAGGTTAAATCGAATCAACAATTGATTTCATAATCAATACAGAGATTGTGTCATATTGATTTGCTACAGTCAAAACAATTGGTTAAACAGTGAGAGTTACGTAAATAGAAAACTGTTACTTGTCCCATTTAGGAATGTACATTATTAATTAAAAAAAATAATTTATTAAAATTTTCCGTGTACAATTAAAAAATTTAAAATAAAATAAAATAAATTCTCTATGTTTATTATCAAAATTTCTCTTTGGTGTTATTTTTTTTTATTGATTCCTCCTTTGGTTAAAAATTTCTAACCAGACAACGCATAGCCCAACACTTCCATCTTTATCAAATATCCATCACCATCCCATACCATTCCCCTTCAACCATCCCTACCATTCACCACGGATTTCATCATCATCTAGGCAGAACCCCAACGTGTCTATTTTTAGAAAAAAAACCGTTATATTACCACTCAAAATTTCAATTCAAAAAAAGGTGTTGCAAATTTCTTAAACGAGTTTAGATTTCCACCCACTTTCAAAAAGATCACACGTTCCCTAAATCAAACAATCGGCCGTATAATTATTATTTGGACTGTCATTTAATAACGATCTAATTCATTCATTGCTACGCCATTTATTTTTAACCAGACACACCTCAGTTTCCGTACTTGCATAATTTCACATTCGCATTTCCCTCAAAGACAATTTTTATAAAAATTATTCAATATCTCTCTACCAACCACCCACCACAGTCATAAAATAGAGAACTAGTCATTTAAATTTTTTATAATTTACCGTAGCAACTCCCATTTGAAATCAAGAGAGTCATTCATTACTGAATACAGATAATCTTTTTCCATTGCAGCCCCTTGTCATCACCTTCTTGTATATATACAAACGGTTTGAAATCAATTCTCAACTACCATTGTCTGAATTTTCAATTTGGGTAATATTTCAGATCGCACAATAAAAGTTAGTTATTACAAGAGCATACACATTCACGAAGGTAATTAGTCGTTCAAAAACTTGCATCCTTTACAACGTTCACTTAGCAGTTTTGTTATACTTTTCGGTTATCTAATATTGTCATTACATCATTCAACATTGCATCTAATCCAATCATACGTAATTGCTCAATATGGCCCATGTTCTCACCAAGACAGTTGCCATAAGCTCTGAGAGCACATTTCAATCCAATTATCAGACTACAAATACACCAATCAGATCAACGTTAGATCCTCGCTATTTCAATTCCGATACAGTAGTTCCACCTGTGGAAGATTCACGTTCCCCTTCTAAATTACCAGATCCACCATCCCCTTATAGAAAGCTGCAAGTGAAATCAAGATATACATTTGCATCACCAATCGATTCTCAAACGTCATTAAAAAGCTCTTTATCTACTACTAAAGAAAACGATAAACTTATCAAATCGTTACTAAAACAATTTAAGAGATTAGAGACAGAATTAAACAAGTTTAACTCAAAGAAATATAATCATAATACAAGTAGTGGTGCTATAATGAAAGGAAATATTTTACGTACATCTTTGCTACCATTCTTGAGAGCATCAAATCAATTAGAACAATGTTTTGCTACCGATTCACCAATATTTAAAAGTTTAACTAGTGTTATACTAACAATTTTGGTTAGGTGGTGGAATTCATTAATTGGAAATTTAACATATACCGCTGCTGCCACCAGTCTTGCCAGTAGTAGTAGCCATTCCAACATATCATCAAACTCATCAACTTCTACTCTTTCAAGATCAAATCCAACCACGGCATCAAGTCGTTCTGACACAATTCATTTTTCACATATACCAGCGGCAGATAGAAACGCGTATTTAGAATGCATATCACGAATTATGGCCCGTCAAGATTGGTCCTATTATGATGAACCAAATGATTACCAATCGTTACTTATTCAAACACTCGACTATTGCATTGAAAAGATGTCTAATTTAAAGACAGTCTCTGCTTCATTTTCTGCATTTATGGGAAAAGTCTTTGCCTATAGTTTTTTCAAAATTCCTCATGTTTCAAACGCATTGTTGTTTTTATTAAATGTAAAGCAAATTACATTTGAATCTTGTTTGAGAAAGTTATCTAATAACCAACCATGTGATAATAAGCTTAAAAGCATCTTCCCCCATCATTTACATTATTTGATCAATTTCAAAGGAATGCATACATTAACCACAAAGGGACAAAAGAAATCCATCAATTGTGCTCCAATTCCAAGACATCCAGTTAGTGGTATTAAAGACCCCAATGGAGATTGGGTCAGACGGTGGTATTGTCCAGATTCGAACGTTTTTAACTCATTTTTCCGTCATTATATAGATATACTTCAAACATACCTTCGAGAACAACCGGAGAAAGTCAATAGAGACGTTTTGTTTAATTGTCCGGGATTTAGCATTATAATTAGTCATATTTTTCAAATCTTTCATACTGGTATTGTTAGAATCTCTAGCAATTTCGTGAATTCAACTAAACCATTAGGTCCGCAAACAACTCCGACACATACAAGAAAATTTAATCCCGATGGTACGTCAATTATGATTCCTCATCCAAGTGCATCGTCATTTAATCCTAATCTTAAACAAAGTGACGTTTATTATACTTCCATACTTAAGGTTTTCAAAACGGTTCGTGATATTACATATTGTGCAACTCTAGATGAAAAACCAATTGATCCAATTAGTGCCGATTTGGTAAAAGTGATTGATACTTGTTTGATTTCAATTGCCAAGGAGACAACAATTTATGATTTTAATAGGAATGGACTTATTTTAAGTATTGCTAATGAGTTTATTAATCATATTGGAAATAACACTGGTATGGAAATGAAGTTATTAGTTAATTGGGATTTTTGGCTTAGTTGTAATTATATGATGATAAAACATTGTGATCATGTCCAGACTATATTAAAGAATTTTGCATTTTTATTTAATACTTGGGATATGATTCCTGAGACATTATCCAATTTAGGAACTAATAAGGTGGATATAAATTTACAAAATATAGAATTTGGTTGGTTGACTGATGTTAAGAATTCATCAAAGTTGAATTTTATCAATTTCTTGATTAGTGATGAAACTTTCCAACGATTTTTCACCCATTGGAATCCAATTATTAGATCGTATTATATTAAATTGTTAATTTGGAGAGTTATTGGGGTTAATAACTATCAATCATCAACGATGCTTCAAGTAACCAAGAATTTACAAATTAAGTTAAATAAAGCATTTGAGATTTTAAAACAATTTACAATTGATAATAATGGGAAATTTGAAATGAATTATAAACCAGATAATCCATTAGTTAATAGAAAATTTGGCAGATTGCTTATTAATGTCAAAGATGATTATTTGTCAATTTATGATGAACCAACTCCAGATTATGTTCCAACTACATCTTTGAGAACTTCAGAATTAAGAAAAACCCATCCATATGAAGTTTTCGATGAAGCGATATATACATGTTCATCAGCGTTACCAGACTTGACCAAGTCTTCATCTACAGGTTCATTAAGATCATTAAGTTCAAATGGCTCAACCAAACCTGGGAATCCAATTGTTAATTCAATCGGGAAATTTTTTAAGATTTTGGCAGACGATAATAATAATAATAATCATCAATTAAATGATATTCAGGAAAATAGCCCCTCAAGTGAAATTGGACCAGTTCCAATGGAATCCAAAAGAAAATCGGTGTCAATGACATCAATATCATCAACTTATTCTTCATTAAAATCAAGATCTTCAAGTCCAAGTATGTTGTCATTCAAATCATCCGGATTCACCGATTCAACCACTTCATCAATTCAATCAGATTCGGAATCGATTTTATCTATGGATACAATGAGAAGTAAAACTTCAACCCCGCTGACCCAGAGTTATAATATCCAACCACCGGAATTATCAAAATTACCTCCAGATATAATTCGTCCACTTTATAAATTTGATATTATTGTTGATCATGAATCTGTAAGTGAGAAATTCTCACTTATTAATCATAGAAACTCCATGATTGGATTAAAACCTAATTGTAGTTTCTTTCCTGGTCAATCATCACAAATCCGGTTCTTTCCATTACAACCACAAGTACCATTAATTTCAATATTTGTTAATTCTGGTTCATTTGCTGATAAATTGTTCATTAATGATGAAGAATCTTATTTTTTGGAAAATTTTGATAATAATGGGAAGTTGACCAAGGAAGATGATTGTTGGTTTCTGAATCAAGGTAGATCTACTATGATTAATTTAGGTAAATCTATGAATGAATTGAATTTAACGGTGGATGAATTTAGAAGATTTTTGAATAGTAGAATTGAGATTGATACATATAATGCTGATTTGAATGCTGAAGATAATGCCATGACTGAATTTGGATATTTTAAGCGGATAATTCCATTCCTTTCAGTTGATTCTTCGAATGAAATGAAGTTGTTGAATGCTAATTAATTGGTAGAGGGATTTCAATATTTTGCTAGCGTTATTGGGCTGGAATTTTTGGGGAGAATAATTGAGATTGCTTTCTTTGATAGAGACGTCTATTTTGGTGTTTAGTTCTTATATCGCTCTTTTTATGTTTATCTATAAGTCGTCATTCGTTTACATTTGCAGTTTGTTTGTTACACCTGTAGAGAATCGAAACTATTATGAGCCATTCTTAATATCTTCCTGATTTTTTTTTTTTTTGCAGCCAACGAGTGGGTGTGTAAGTTGCCAACGTGCACAAGTTTAATTGAAAACAGGCAACCTAACAATAAGTCCAATACTTCTGGAAACTTTCACTGCGGACTTTAACATAGTATTCTTCTGATTTATCACATTTCGAGATGAATAATATCCTCATACACAATAATATGTTGCCTATATAGCTTTAAATATTACGATATTATTACCAGAATATTTCTACCAATACTAATAACTCATAAAATGAACTGTTTTATTAAAATCATACATAGAGAACTTTATGACATAAGAGAAAAGTCTATCATACATATACCAAATCAAATTCCTACTCAAACCTCTCCTGTTTTATATATACCCTTTCTAGTTCCTCTTCATTCTTTGCCGTCAAAGCCAACAATCCATAACTAGTAGCCAAACTAGTAAACCCACTTATACCAGCAAACAAAACCGTACCAAGAATAAAACAAATATAATAATATTTGACAAGATAATATCTAAACCCAGTCCATTTCACCACATATTTAAAACAACTTAAATTATCATCTATCAAATAATCAACATTCGTTAACTGCAATCTAAAATCCCTAATCTTTTCCAGAATCTTATCACCCCGAATTTCAAACCTGGAAAGGGAGACTGGATTTGATCGTGAATATGATACTAGGAAGGGGGGAACCCATGTTCGGAGATTGTAGGGGATATAATCATTATGTTGTGAATATGTATAATGGGAACTACAATCCAATATATAGCTTCCCTGATGGAATGTACCGAGATCGTCTTGGATTTCATACCCGATTTTTCGAATTGTCGATTGCGGTTGAACACCACCCCGATCAGGACAAATCAAATGTAAGTTGAATTCAAAGATATATGTAAGATGAGGATCGAATTCGAAATCTTCAATAAGAGATGGAATAAGATTGGATAGGTGGGTTAGATTGGTGGATGTGAAATTGAGGGCAATTGGAGGTGATGATGGGTTGGGAACTAAGGAATTATAATATTCATTATAGGTTAATAATGCGAGTGGTAGTAGAATGAATAATCCGGTGCCGAGGGTTGTTAGTATGTATAACCAACCTTTTGTTATTTGGACTGGGACTACTAAACCAAAGAAGCGGATCCAACTCATGATAATTGGACCGGCTGTATGTGTGTATGTGTGTGTGTGTGTATATATGGGATAAGATATTGATCGAATCAAATCAAAATCAAATTGGGTTTGGTGTGGTTATTAAGTTGTTTTTCTGGTGTTACAATTAACTGAACTGTATTGTTGTAAATTATCATATGCAATAAAAGAAAACTTTAAAAAAACAATAAATCAAATATTATTAAAATTCCAACTATTAAAACAATTGTATAGAGAAGTAAGTAACTTAATTAATATATATATAAGATAAGAAAGGAAAGGGAATAATAATAATAATAAAGAAAATCAAATAAATACATAATAATAATAATAATAATAAAACAACACTTATACCTCTCTCTCTCTCTCTCAATGAGGTTAAACACTCTCTTTTTCACCATTCTCTAAAAATCACATGTCACCATCATCACCATTACCAACTTCTTCTTCTTCTTCTTCACTTTGAAAAGACATATAAAAGCACACTAATTNCAATGAGGTTAAACACTCTCTTTTTCACCTTTCTCTAAAAATCACATGTCACCATCATCACCATTACCAACTTCTTCTTCTTCTTCTTCACTTTGAAAAGACATATAAAAGCACACTAATTAATAATAATGCAACAACCAAATTACCCAAAATAAAGAAATCCATGAAAAAATAATAAACCAAAAGAACAAAAATTAAATAAAAAATATCTCTATATATATAACTCTTCAACTTCAATGAGTAGTAATGAGTAACTAATGAGTAGTATGTCCTCTATGATATTTCAAACCATTAAGATTCTTGTATCTTTTCCCACATACTTCACATCTATATGGTTTATCCTTCTCCAAAGCCGCACTATCCAAATATGGAGAATTAGATTCGGGATCAATAACTGAAAAAGTTCCATCAGGATTCTCGCGTAAATTTTGTCCTTGATGTCCATGTAATCGATGATATTTAAGTCCATTTTGATTCTTATAAGTTTTTTCACATCCAATTACTGGACATTTGAATGGTTTGTTTTCATCATTGTCAACTACATAAAGATGACGGGCTGGATCATCGATATACATTGCATCCTCATCATCATCAGTTTGCATGGGTGTTCCGGCATTGGTACTACTATTGGTGGTTGGTGAGTTGTGGATTGGGGAATGCAGTCTTCCATTTTGAGATGAAGTATTGTTCGGTATTTGTTGTTTTTGTGTTTGGATTTGTTGTTGTTGTTGTAACGCTTGTTGTGTTTGTTGGTTGTTGAAATGGTAGTTACTTTCATTAGTGACGGCAGGATGGATGGTATTGTTTTGAGTCATTTGTTGTTGCTGCTGTTGATGATGGTGGTTATTTAAGAAAACATCAGTTGTAGACACTGTATCCATAACATTATGCATATTGTTAAAGTTGTTGCGATTACGGTTTGTGTTTAATAAATGGTTTGATTCTGGCGGTGGTGATACTGATATATGAGCCTCTTCGTAATGTCTCAAAAGGTCGTGTAATGTGGGTAATAATTCACCACAACAACTATAATCCTTACAATAATGAGCTTCTAAATCAGGTAAATACGATGTTTGTAAATGTGGTGACATACTTGGATGATTGTTAGTTCTAAACGATCCTCTTCTTGGATTAATCAAATGCTGTTGTGATTGCTGTTGTTGTTGTGCTTGTGCCTGTTGCTGTTGCTGTTGTAAATATTGTTGTTGTGACAGTATAAGATGAGAATGTTGATGGGTATTATTAAAAAAGTTATTATTATTTTGTTGATACTGACTACCAGACATCATAACCTCATCTTTTAACCAAGATCCTATTGTTGCAGATCCCCATGATACACCTCCAATACCTCCTCCTTGTGAATGTGCCATAGATTCTCGTCTAAATCGGGAGTTATTAATAATGGAGGGTCGATGATTGAATGTTATATCTATAGGTTGTGGATTAACTGTAGATGCTCCTAGATGATGATGATCTGCCGATGCACCCGAAGGTATATTGATAGCTGCGGAACCAGTTGGATTGGTATTTTCAAATATCCTTGTATTAAACATTTTGACTTCTGTTGTATGTGTGTGTATATACGTGTGTGAATAAGGGTCGTACTAAAGTGCCAAAAGAGGGACCTGTATAATTTGTAGTCTTCGATTTCGGTTGTACTGGGATATGACTTTAAACTTTTAAAATAAAAAACACTTCTATTTTGTCTGTGGCTTTTTCTAAAATTCCAATAATACCTGAATAGTTCTAAGGGGGTGTATTCTGTATTGGTAGTAATGTTGTAATCTTTCTAAGAAAAAGGGGGTTTAGAAAAAAATGGTGATTTCCTTATTTCTTTAAAACAACTTTTTTCTTTTTTTTAAACTTTTTATTTTATTTTTTATTTTTTAGTTGAATGTCTCCAATGTCTCTCTCTTCTTGGGATTTTGTTCGTTATTAAATGTAACTTGTTAATATGAATCGTTTATTGTCAAATAAAAAAAATAATTTGAATTCAGTTTTGTGAAACAAATAAATTTATGCGACAATAGACAATAAAAAGAGACAAATAATTTAAACTGTAATATTCCTTATTTGGTATTGATGAGGATTCACTGTTGTTAGCAAATCTTCTTGCACTAATGATTCTCGTCAATAGACAGGTGTATTAATTTGTAGTGGTAGGTAATGCCTTTGTAAAAAAGTAAAATTGTAGCACTGCCCCTGGGTCTAATGTAGATGTAAAATGAGGGTAGTATCGCTTACAAGTATTTCCTTTATAAATATAAATTCAATACTTTTGATAGGACAATTTAAATATATATATCTAGGCTTATTCCTGAGTATATATATATGAGGTGTAAGGAACGATAAAGTAGGGGGTGATAATTGGAAATGAAATTCAAGTGGTGGTCTTATTCTTGATTCTTGATTGATAACTCTATAGACTAAAAAAATGGATTATCTATGGGATCACCTTCGTATTATTTCTTTATGTTTCTTTTGCGAGATTGATAAGTATGATTTGCAAACCTAGTGAGTTGAATTCAGTATATTGTGGTACTGGTTGTTGCTGGGGTAATATACGGCGGTGATAAAATGAATAGGTGTGTATTAATTTGTAGTTGATTACTAAGGAAGGAAGAAAGTGAAAAATTCAAAAAAAAGTTTAATAGGGGGGGGTGCAGGGGTAACAAGAATTTATTTAAAATTTATTGTAAATTTAAAATTATTTTTTTTTAATTAAATTAAATGTCGCAAGCTAACTTACTTTATATCCTTTTTTTTTATTTAAAAAAAACGACATGTCGCTGGGCGTAAGTTAATTTTTGCGACCTTGATTCCAATGAAACCTTAAATACATTTGAAACGTTATCTTTACTAATTCTATGAAAGTTGGTGCTCTCTCTCTTGGTATATTACGTCTCCTTTGATTCAATTGTTGGGCTAGTATATTTTCTGGATAAATGATTTAGGACAAATCCGAAATCATTACACAAAGTTCAAATTCACACGACCAAATTTTATTTTATTATGCAATTCTTGCATCTCGACAAGATTATTGCAAAAAAATATTCTGCTTTCTTTTATTGATTGTTAAGTTCAACTTTAGTCCCAATTTAACCGAATCAAATGCATGCGATATTACATAGATCAACTTTAAGTAAATTAATAGAGTCAAAGCCAATTACAAGATCAATGCAAGGTTCTGGATAACCAGAGATACCGCCCTTATAATTACACATTTCAATCTTCATTTCTCAGTCGTTCATAATCTTGTTGGATTTTTTTTTCGTAGTGAATGGCTTGCTATGATCTAAGAAAATATCAATAGAATCACCTGCAATCATCCAACAAGCACAGTGAATGATTATCCCATTAGCCGTATCTCGCCCTATAAACTGGTCACGCGGAGAAAGCCCCCAGATCCGATATTACATAAAGGTATGTGACATGATACATTTATAGAGAGGTGATGGCGAGCTAGGTGACGGCGATTTCATTTCGTATGTCAACATATGAATGACCCAAAAACGTAATCAGTTCCGTTATTTCCCACCAAAACTTTTTAGTGTCTCTGCTTTTCGCCTATAAGTTTTTTGATCTGTTAGTTTTTCAAGAACTATCCGGTAAGATCAGTGACATCTTCCCGAAAACCCAAATTAAAAATATTCTTTGTTAGAATAAGTCAGATGTTTTTTGATCCACTGTTTCCTCGGGTATCAAAAACAACTAAACTCTATCAACAGATACGGTTAATAATAACTCCGATATCGCAAGGGAGTGGGTTCATTGTTATGTAATTACGGTGATGATTGTTCTCTTCTCCAATAGCCAAAACTTTAGTCCATCCATCTTTTGACTAAATTTCTGTTTTCTCCCCATGCTTCTCTTTCCCAGATTATAATTGTACAGTTTACTAATGGAGCTCTTGCAACACAAGGAAGCTCGAATACTAAGATCAGTTTTCTTTGTTGTCTTAGTCCGCTTGCTTGTTCTATGTACTAAAACCGTTGAAAGAACATTTCTAAACCTCAATACAATAACCAACAAGAGAAAGACCAGGCTTTTGTGATATTCCTGTATATTCATGCAATAAACCGTTGGAAAAATTTCAAGTATGACACAAATGCCAAGAAACAATTTTAAACTTATCCCAATTTTGTGATATTTCTACAGAAATACTTGCATGATGATTTTTATTGATTTACGATGGTTTCTATTGTTCTTTGTTTCATTGGGATTTCCCGGATATTTCCTAAAAAAAAGCAATTCACCAGAGAACGTCATAGATTTATTTTTTGTTGTGTGGTTGGCTTAAATTATTTGGTTGACAATTATTTGATCCCAAAACAATTGTGACAAAAAATCCCGAATATTTCAATCCGCTGCCCTTACCCCCAACCAAGGGGGTCATGATTTTGAAACTTTGTCTCCTAAACGAGGTTTCTTTTCTAAACTTTGTTGCCATACAAGATAACGCATTTTCTTAAAATCTTATCAAGAAGGACTTAGATATGCTCACGACATTTTCCATATCCCATACAGGCGCGGCCTTGCATGCCCAGGAATCACATATCCCGCACAGCACACCCCGAAATGACATGAGTGATGTTTATCTGTTCCCCAAACCCCCGTCAGGCAGACAGATGAATTGTATTAATAATCATTGTACATATACTAATAAGCAAATACAATGAGGAAATCAACAGCCTTGTATATTGTAATTTTTGTGGTGTGTGCGATTATTCTTCCGTCTCTATCATGGCTTAAAAAAATAAAACCCTATTTGGATAAATCGACTGATGAAAAATCGTCACAAATCCCCCTGAACAAGATCTTTAGGTTTTGGACAAAATGACGCAGGGGTGTGTGTGGGAATTGATATGTGTTGATTTATCGATTAAGCTTATTTTTATCTCCATAAGGCATTATTATGAGTTGAGGAAGGTTTCGTTTGTTTCATTTTTTTCCAGGAGGTTGTTTAATATAAGAGTGTTATTTTGGAAACAACCCCATTACAGAATTTGTAGAAGGTTTATTTGTAGAGTAATGGATACGGAGGTAGCAAGAATGGGGACAGATGTCGGAGTGTAGTGTATCCTACTACATTATATTAAGTTTAGATATGTGTGTCCCGTACGCAATTTCGAATAGGAAGAGCACAAAATACGCACATTTGATCTATTTCTACTCGACGAAATGCGCATTTGACACTCTGTTGAGTAATATGTACTAGCTGATGAACCCAATTTTCGTTCATGGCTGTTGTTGAGATGTTTTCTCAAGGGCCCATATTTTGAATTTGTACTTTGCTCTATTTTCTCGGCAATTTTTTTGCAGCAAAGTTTTTTTCTCCAGGAAAACGCGTCTTAAAGACAAGCAATTTTTTTGGTTTTGCAACCTGTGAATAATTTTCCTAAAAAGTGCCTTTCGATATTTACATTGTTTGGGATAATATCGTAATTGTAGACACGTTTAGAGAAACCTTTTTTTTTTGAATATTTGAATATAGCTTCTGAACGGTCTGATGATGTAAGAAACTATCTCAGGTTCTAAGACGTCTTTAGAAGAACCATCTTTTTGTATTATTGGCAAGCTTTTTTAGATGTATATAAATGTCAAAGTCACGGGATGATATCAAAAATTCCCTACTCTATCTATATATGTACATTAGGCTACATACCTCCCAAACTACAGAATGATTCCTGTATGAAATTCTCTTCTTGCGTTTGGTTTGTTTTTTGGTCATAAAAAATTTTTCACTGATCCGATCAGATAATTTTTTTTTGGTCCCAAATTGGATGAGAAAGCCGAAAACCGGATTGTTGCAACCACATATAAAGTTTTTCAGACCGATGATTTAGTTTGAAAAAATGTGGGACACTATTATGACACATCTCGTGAAAAATTCTAAATCTCGGGATTGCAATCCTGGAATTTTTCGAACTTATATATAACTCGAGAATTTCCTATGATTTCTGGTCTTGACTAAAGGTCAATATCTGAATCAACTATTAGAATGTTGCAAAAACTTCCAGTTGAAATACTAGATCTCATAGTTGAAAATATTCATCATCAAGATGTTTTGCATTTATCCCAAACCAACAAAACTTTATATCGATGGCTACATCCTAAATTATATCATGGAAATGTTATGGACAGAGCTCCAACCAGGTATTCCATAATGGAACAAACCGATAATCTAAATGAAATAATAAAGATGAATAATGACAGACTTCAACCTGAAGGAGGAAGCCGAATCCCTTTGGGTAGCATATCTTCCATCTACGGATTGAAATTATTCTTCAAGAATTTGGTCGAAAACCCCGAATATTGCAAATATATAAAAGGGTTGATTTTTAATGGGAACAGCCCCGATGTCCCGGATTTGGAAATATATGGATATTTAAGACAGTGCATACCTTTGATGAGTGAGTTGAGAGTGTTTCATTGGTATAAACAAGGAATGAAATTACCTGGTGATTTATTTAGTGAGAATCACCGGCTTGAGGAATTACGTGGATACTTTGACTTCAGTTGTAATAAACACCTGCAGAACTTATTGAGTTTAGAATTATGTGATGTAAATGATTTAACGGATTTGAAGAATATTTCGATGGATAGTTTGAAGAAATTATCTATTGGATCAAAGCAGAAATCCATCAACTTGTCGACAATGCTTCAAGCAACCAGTAAACAGATGAAATTGAAGGAACTTGCTTTGAAAAACATAGATTTGTGTCATGATGATGTAACTAGACTTTCACCCATTACAGACTGGAATATGTTGCAAAGTTTAACAATTGATGATTGTTCAGATTCGAGATTCGATATGAATACTCATTCAATTAGCAAATCTTTCTTACTGGGGTTGAAACCTTATGTTCAACTGTTGAAACAGTTGAATCTTGCTTTGAATGATTTCCAAGATAGTCATCATTTGTTCCTGTTCCTCCAGGATATGACATTGTCAAAATTAAACATTGAAGTTGATCATAATGTTAATCATAACATAAGTTTCTTCACCAGTACGTTGTTATCATGCTTGAATCCTGATGCCTTAACACATTTGGAATTCAAAGTTAGGTTTGGAAGAAGTAGTAGTAGTAGTAAAGACAAAATGTTCGATATCTACTCACTTAATAAATTGAGGGAATTCACCAAATTGCAATTTTTACAACTACCAATCATTGAAAGTGATATCACGAACTTACTAGCATTCATACCAAAGAATGTTGAATGTATTTCGTTTAGCTGCAAAGAAGATGAATCAGAACAACAATTTTCTTCTATAAGTTCATTAATTCATCCTGAATATTGGCAGCTTGCAACCATAAATGTAATTCTGCGAGATGAAAAAGAAAACTTTCCAGAAATTATTAACAAATATCAACAGAAATTACCAAAATTAAAATGGGTAAATTTCAATAAAAACAATAATGAATATACTTATGAAATCAACAACAAAAGTTCAATTTATAGAGAAAGTTTGAGTTTTAAAACTATAATTAGAACTCTACATCCATAGATAGTAAATAGTAAATATAAAAGAAGTCATTTAGAAAATTTATAAAATGTAGATCATATGTAATAGTCCCGAAATAATACAGAAACCTGCTTCTAAAAGAAGAAACAATGATTTCAGGGTGGAGATGATCTTGGAATCTGATATTCCAAAGCAAAAGTGTTCCCTTAAACCACGTTTAACTGAAAATAAACGAATATAATCAGGGTAAATGAGAAGGCATTAAGCTTTGGGTATTAAGTTTTATTGCTGGTCAATTATTTATCGAATTTTACAATTATAGATGCCTTATAGTAGATAGAATGTTTATTTCTATATATTTATTGTATGGTGTTTAGTTGATAGTAAGAAGAAAGAAGTTTGTTGTTGAAAATTGTGAAGTTTTTTTTTCGCTCACTTAAAAACATTTCGCAATGGGCAACCAAGAGAGATCCGGGTAATATCCAAGGGTTGTTTTTTTCAGGTTTGCAAATATGTCAAATCAAACGCCTCAGTAAAATTTAATAAGTATAGCTGCAAATACACACCGTTCACAAGAGCTAATATTTGATGTTACCGATGCCTTACGACAAGCGAAGGCCATATATCTAACGCTTAATTCGACGTCGTAGGGTTATCTTAAACTTTTGTATAGAAAATTTTTTTAAGAGAAAGGTCTTTTAAAATGTAACCCCTACACGTAGTCGTCTAAACAGAGCAGGCAATAACATAAGGCAAACATTTATCTCTGGTATGTTACTCACTCGTAGTCCTTTGGGTTCTAATTCAACCCAACTAATTAAAAGTTGGAAGCAATAGAAAACCCAACTATTTGGACCTTGCCACTTTACATTTCTAGACTTTATCACCAATTCAACAAAAGATACCCGGGGCGTGGCTATATAAAAATATGTAATGTCGTTAGATATCTACCTGGAAACAATGAAAAGAGACATTGATACGAGATGTCGCTATCTTTCTTTTGTTGAGATTTTTCAACGATTGCTTTCTTTTTTTTTCTTTCTTTTTTGCTGCACAACAAAATTTTTTTTGCAGCTATAAATGTTGGAAAATTAACCTGTAAAAACCAACTTAACCTGTAAACGTAACGGTCTCGGAGTATTAGAAACCCAACGGTTTTCGTATATTTACATGTTATGATTTACAGTTTATGCAATATTTACCCATCAAAATTTATTTTTCTAATTAAAAAATAATATTTTACCACATAAAGATTTATAGAATTTTATTTAACAACTTTAATATCCACATCTTTTTTTCAATTTACATTTCTTACAACTTTCTCTTTCTCTTCAGTTCTTTAGACTTCCACAGAATATTACCACAAATCAACAATGAGACCAGAAATCGAACAAGAATTATCCCACACTTTATTGACTGAGTTATTAGCTTATCAATTTGCTTCTCCAGTTAGATGGATTGAAACTCAAGATGTCTTTTTAAAACAACACAACACTGAAAGAGTTGTTGAAATTGGTCCATCTCCAACCTTATCTGGTATGGCTTCCAGAACCATCAAGGCTAAGTATGAATCTTATGATGCAGCTTTATCTTTACAACGTCAAGTTTACTGTTATTCTAAGGATGCTAAGGAAATCTACTACACTCCAGATCCAGCTGATATTGCTCCAAAGGAATCTGCTGCTGCTCCAAGTGAACCAACTCCAGCTGCTGCTGCTACCCCAGCCGCTGCTGCTCCAGCTCCAGTTGCTGCTGCCCCTGCTGCTTCTGCTGGTCCAGCCGCATCTATTCCAGATGAACCAGTTAAGGCCTCATTATTATTACATGTTTTAGTTGCCCAAAAGTTGAAGAAACCATTAGAAGGTGTTCCAATGTCCAAAGCTATTAAAGATTTAGTTAATGGTAAATCCACTGTTCAAAATGAAATTCTTGGTGATTTAGGTAAAGAATTCGGTTCAACTCCAGAAAAACCAGAAGATACTCCATTAGAAGAATTAGCTGAACAATTCCAAGATACTTTCAATGGTCAATTAGGTAAGACTTCTACTTCCTTAATTGGTAGATTAATGTCTTCCAAGATGCCTGGTGGTTTCTCCATTACTGTTGCTAGAAAATATTTAGAAACTAGATTTGGTTTAGGTTCAGGTAGACAAGATTCTGTTTTATTAGTTGCTTTATGTAATGAACCTGCTAACAGATTAGGTAATGAAGCTGATGCAAAGGCTTTCTTAGATTCTTGTGCTACTAAATATGCTTCTACTGCTGGTATTTCATTATCTTCTGCTGCTGCTGCCGGCGGTGCAGCTGGTGGTGCTGGTGGTGCTGTTGTTGACAGTGCTGCTTTAGACGCTTTAACTGCTGAAAACAAGAAATTAGCTAAACAGCAATTAGAAGTCTTAGCCAGATACTTACAAGTTGACTTAAACAAAGGTGCTAAATCTTTCATTAAGGAAAAGGAAGCTTCTGTTGTTTTACAAAAGGAATTAGACTTATGGGAAGCTGAACATGGTGAATTCTATGCTAATGGTATTAAACCAACCTTTTCTCCATTGAAATCTAGAACTTATGATTCTTATTGGAATTGGGCTAGACAAGATGTTTTATCCATGTACTTTGATATTATCTTTGGTAAATTGACTTCAGTTGATAGAGAAACCATTAACCAATGTATTCAAATTATGAACAGAGCTAACCCAACTTTAATTAAATTCATGCAATACCACATTGATCATTGTCCAGAATACAAGGGTGAAACTTATAAATTAGCTAAACAACTTGGTCAACAATTAATTGATAACTGTAAGCAAGTTTTGAATGTTGATCCAGTTTACAAGGATGTTTCTAGAATTACTGGTCCAAAGACTACTGTTTGTGCTAAGGGTAACATTGTTTATGAAGAAGCCAGCAAGGATTCTGTTAGAAAGTTTGAACAATATGTTTATGAAATGGCTCAAGGTGGTAAGATGACCAAGATTGAACAACCAACTATTCAAGAAGATTTAGCTAGAGTTTACAAGGCTATCAGCAAGCAAGCTTCTAAGGGTAACAAGTTAGAATTAGAAAAGGTTTACCAAGAATTATTGAAAGTTGTTGAATCATCTTCTGAAATTGAAACTCAACAATCAACCAAGGATATTTTACAATCTGCCAGTGAATCAAACGTTAACTCTGAAGATGAATTATCTACTCCATGTAGTGAAGATGATGAAATTGCTACTTTACCAGATAAGACTTCTATCTTACAACCAGTTTCTTCAACTGTTCCAGCTCAAACTATTCCATTCTTACACATTCAAAAGAAAACTAAGTCTGGTTGGGAATATGACCGTAAGTTATCTGCCCTTTACTTGGATGGTTTAGAATCTGCTGCTGTTAACGGTTTAACTTTCAAGGACAAATATGTTTTAGTTACTGGTGCCGGTGCTGGTTCTATTGCTGCTGAAATCTTACAAGGTTTAGTTTCCGGTGGTGCCAAGGTTGTTGTTACTACTTCCAGATTCTCCAAGAAGGTCACTGAATATTACCAAAACATGTATGCCAGATATGGTGCTGCTGGTTCTATTTTAACTGTTGTTCCATTCAATCAAGGTTCTAAGCAAGATGTTGAAGCTTTAGTTAAGTACATTTACGATGAACCAAAGAAGGGTGGTTTAGGTTGGGATTTGGATGCCATTATTCCATTTGCTGCTATTCCAGAAAACGGTAACGGTATTGACAACATTGATTCAAGATCTGAATTTGCTCACAGAATTATGTTAACTAATCTTTTAAGATTATTAGGTGCTGTTAAGGCTAGAAAGACTACTGATACTAGACCAGCTCAATGTATCTTACCATTATCTCCAAATCACGGTACTTTCGGTTTCGATGGTTTATACTCAGAATCCAAGATTTCTTTAGAAACTTTGTTCAACAGATGGTACTCTGAAGATTGGGGAACTAAATTAACTGTTTGTGGTGCTATTATTGGTTGGACTAGAGGTACTGGTTTAATGAGTGCTAACAACATTATTGCTGAAGGTATTGAAAAATTAGGTGTTAGAACTTTCTCCCAAAAGGAAATGGCTTTTAACATCTTAGGTTTATTAACTCCAGAAATTGTCCAATTATGTCAAGAAGAACCAGTTATGGCTGACTTAAACGGTGGTTTACAATTCATTGAAAACTTGAAGGAATTCACTTCTAAATTGAGAACTGATTTAACTGAAACTGCTGATATTAGAAGAGCTGTCTCTATTGAAACTGCTATTGAACAAAAGGTTGTTAATGGTGACAATGTTGATGCTAACTACTCTAAGGTTACTGTTCAACCAAAGGCCAACATGAAATTCAATTTCCCAACTTTGAAACCTTATGCTGAAATTAAAGAAAAGGCTCCAGAATTAGAAGGAATGTTAGATTTAGAAAACGTTATTGTTGTTACTGGTTTCGCTGAAGTTGGTCCATGGGGTAATGCTAGAACCAGATGGGAAATGGAAGCTTATGGTGAATTCTCATTGGAAGGTACTATTGAAATGGCCTGGATTATGGGTTTGATCAAATACCACAATGGTAACTTGAAGGGTAAGCCATACACCGGTTGGGTTGATGCTAAGACTCAAACTCCAATTGATGACAAGGATATCAAGGCTAAGTATGAAGAAGAAATCTTAGAACACACTGGTATTAGATTAATTGAACCTGAATTATTTGATGGTTATGATCCAAAGAAGAAACAAATGATCCAAGAAGTTGTTATCCAACATGATTTAGAACCATTTGAATGTTCCAAGGAAACTGCTGAACAATACAAACATGAACATGGTGAAAAGTGTGAAATCTTTGAAATTGAAGAAAGTGGTGAATACACTGTTAGAATCTTAAAGGGTGCTACCTTATTTGTTCCAAAGGCTTTGAGATTTGATAGATTGGTTGCTGGTCAAATTCCAACTGGTTGGAATGCTCGTACTTACGGTATTCCAGAAGATACTATTAACCAAGTTGATCCAATTACCTTATATGTCTTGGTTGCTACTATTGAAGCTTTATTATCTGCCGGTGTTACTGATCCATATGAATTCTACAAATACGTTCATGTTTCTGAAGTTGGTAACTGTTCTGGTTCCGGTATGGGTGGTGTTTCTGCTTTAAGAGGTATGTTCAAGGACAGATATGCCGATAGACCAGTTCAAAATGATATCTTACAAGAATCTTTCATCAACACTATGGCTGCTTGGGTTAACATGTTGTTATTATCTTCATCTGGTCCAATCAAGACTCCAGTCGGTGCCTGTGCTACTGCTGTTGAATCCGTTGACATTGGTATTGAAACTATTTTATCTGGTAAGGCTAAGATTGTTATTGTTGGTGGTTATGATGATTTCCAAGAAGAAGGTTCTTATGAATTCGCTAACATGAATGCTACTTCTAATGCTATCAAGGAATTTGAACATGGTAGAACTCCAAAGGAAATGTCCAGACCAACTACTACTACTAGAAATGGTTTCATGGAAGCTCAAGGTTCTGGTATCCAAGTTATTATGACTGCTGATTTAGCTATTAAGATGGGTGTTCCAATTCATGCTGTTTTGGCTATGTCTGCTACTGCTACTGATAAGATTGGTAGATCTGTTCCAGCTCCAGGTAAAGGTATTTTGACTACTGCTAGAGAACATCACGGTGACTTGAAATATCCATCTCCATTATTGAACGTCAAGTACAGAAAGAGACAATTAGCCAAGAGATTAGAACAAATTTCTGCATGGGAAGAAGCTGAAATCAACTACTTACAAGATGAAGCTGAGTTAGCCAAGGAAGAATATGGTGCTGAATTCTCTATGTCTGAATTCTTAAGAGAAAGAACTGAAGAAATCTACCGTGAATCCAAGAGACAAGTTTCTGATGCTAAGAAACAATGGGGTAATCAATTCTACAAGTCTGATCCAAGAATTGCTCCATTAAGAGGTGCTTTAGCTACTTTCAACTTAACCATTGATGATATTGGTGTTGCTTCATTCCATGGTACTTCTACTGTAGCTAATGATAAGAATGAATCTGCTACTATTAACAGTATGATGAAACATTTGGGTAGAACTGAAGGTAATCCAGTCTTTGGTGTTTTCCAAAAGTACTTAACTGGTCATCCAAAGGGTGCCGCTGGTGCTTGGATGTTGAATGGTGCTATTCAAATTTTAGAATCTGGTATTGTTCCAGGTAATAGAAATGCTGATAATGTTGATAAGCTCTTAGAACAATTCGAATATGTCTTGTATCCATCTAGATCTATTCAAACTGATGGTATTAAGGCTGTTTCTATTACTTCTTTCGGTTTTGGTCAAAAGGGTGCTCAAGCTGTTGTTGTTCATCCAGATTACTTGTATGCTGTATTAGATCAATCTACTTATGAATCTTATGCTGCTAAGGTTACTGCTAGAAACAAGAAGACTTACCGTTACATGCACAATGCTATTACTAGAAACACTATGTTTGTTGCTAAAGATAAGGCTCCATATGATGATGAATTAGAACAACCAGTTTACTTAGATCCATTGGCTCGTGTTGAAGAATCCAAGAAACAATTAGTTTTCACTGACAAGGGTGTTCAATCTAACAAATCCTATGTTAGTGAAGTTTCTGATAAAACTGCTAAAGCTTTAACTTCATTGAACAAATCTTCTAGAGGTGTTGGTGTTGATGTTGAATTACTTTCTTCTATTAACTTAGAAAATGAAACGTTTGTTGAAAGAAACTTCACTGCTGCTGAACGTGAATATTGCTCTAAATCTGCTTCTCCACAAGCTTCTTTCACTGGTACTTGGTCTGCTAAGGAAGCTGTTTTCAAGGCTCTTGGTGTTGAATCTAAAGGTGCAGGTGCTAGTTTAATTGACATTGAAATTGTTCGTGATTCTAATGGTGCGCCAAAGGTTGTCTTAAACGGTGAAGCTAAGAAGGCTGCTTCTAAGGCTGGTGTTAAGAATGTTAATGTTTCTATTTCTCATGATGATTTCCAAGCTACTGCTGTTGCATTAAGTGAATTCTAAGAGACTATTTGTTTTATAAAGTTTTAAGTGTTTTTATATAGAATATTTTTAAATATATGTTAATTGATTAAGAAATTTATCTAAATTGTAAGTTCATGTATCTGTAGTACAACTCTTTGAACTACGACGTAACCTCTAAACATCGTCTGACTGGGCAATGTCATTGAAGATTGTAAGACAAGGCTTCAAATAAGTTTAAAACACGCTTTCATTTAATTAGCAATTTACAAAAGAGGAGGAGAGTGAACGAAAAAACAAATTTTGGCTGTCAGAAATTACGTTGAGAAAATTAGGTGTTAATTTTATTTTACCACCAATTCTAATTTAAATTATCAATTTAATCTTTAAACGAACCAATCATTCAGAAATTCATCTTTGAATTGTCAAATCAATTACATTAGAAGAGAAGGAAGATAAATATAGATTTATATATTAGTATGTCGGATCACGAGGAGCCGGGGGCAATAATAGCAAGTGATCCTGAAAAAGATAACATAGATCAAATCGACGAATCCAATCAATTGAATCATCATCAGAAAGAAGAAGAGGAAGATATATCAAGCAATCATGTCGAATTAAATGGCGATAGCCAAGAGGTACCAGATGATTCATCTAGCAATAATATCCAATTAAATGACGAGAATGAAAGTGCCGAAGTGGAAGAAAATAACGTGGAAGATGTTAGTATTAATTCAATACCTGAAGTGCAACCTGAAGTAGAATCTCAAAATGAATTAGAATCAGTTCCAATTTCAGCTGAAAATGAAGTAAGTGAAGATACGCCAGTTGCTGAATCCACATTGGAAGAGCAGGTTATTGATTCACCAGAAGTGCCTAGCATTCTTTCACAGGCTGAGACTGTTCCTACATCAACCACTTCTGTCCCAGAAACTCCAATAACCAACGAAGAATCCGATCTAAATAGTGAAACCCCTCTGAGAGTTGCTTCTTCTGCTCATACACGTCAAATTTCCCAAGTTTCCATGACATCAGCGAATGCAACTCTTGATAACTCCAAAATTTTCAAGAATACATTTGAAGCAATCCTTGCTTCAAAAGAAGCTAAGAAGAATCCAGATTTTAAAAATGTGATTCAAAAAGCTCTTGATTCCTTAAATGATGTTGAATCAAGAGACGCATATGTTATATTTTCTGCATTGAAAGCTTGTTGTGAAACATCAAGTACAGATGTGAAATCTAAAGCAGTCGATTTATTTGCAAAATTATTTGATTATGCACAATTTGATGACAGTAGAGATAAAGCAAAATTAACTGATGATTCTGTTGATGTCATATCGGCTTGCTTTGAAGGTGAAGGAACGGATCCTGAATTGGAATTACAAGTTGTTCGTGCATTGATGCACAGTATTCTTTTGATGCCGTGCCATGGTGCTTCTTTATTGAAAGCTGTTAGACAAATTTATAATGTCTTTATCTTTTCATTAACTGCAAGAAATCAAGCTGTTGCGCAAGGTATTTTAACTCAAGTTATTGGATCTATTTTCCAGCGAGTAGAAGAATCAGAGGCAATGAAAAAGAGATCCACAAAATCAAATAGTATTGTCAGACTTTCTATGGCTTCATTCAGTAAGGAGGAGTTAGACTTACCAAATGATAGTACCAACGTATCAGAAGAAAAGTTGACTTTGAAGAGATTGGAAAACATGAATGATTCTAGACTCGATAGTGATAGAGTAATTGAAGCAAATATGGCCACTGATAGTGATGAAGACTTGGCAGTGAAAGACGCATTTTTGGTATTTAGAGCTATGTGCAAACTTTCAGTCAAATCTTTAGATTCGTCTACTGTTGATATGAGATCACATTCAGTTAGATCAAAGTTATTGTCATTACATATAATTCATACAATTTTGAAAGAACATATTGAAGTGTTTTTAAGTCATGATGTTGTGATATTGTCATCCAGTTCAACTGAACAAATACGATTGATCAATGCCGTTAGACAATATGTTAATTTAGCACTTTCTAAGAATGCTGCCTCCCCATTAGCTCCTATATTTGAACTTACATTAGAAATTTTTTGGTTGATTATTTCAAATTTAAGATCGGAATTTAAAAGAGAAATTCCAGTATTTTGGGATGAGATTTACTTTCCAGTTGCTGAAATGAAAACCTCCAGTGCTCACCAGAAGAGATATTTATTATCAATAATTGAAAGATTATGTAATGATTCCAGATGCATTATTGAATTTTATTTGAATTATGATTGTGATAGCTCCATGCCAAATATATGTGAGAAAGTGATTGACTATTTAACCAAGCTTTCATTGTTAAGAGTTGATGCTACCCCACAACAGAAACAAGCATTCCGTGATAATAGAAGAGTTGGTATTTCAGTTTATGACGTAAACAGAATTTCAAATTTGACGAGTAGTACTATGACTTCAAAACCACCTGAACCAGAAATATACAATCAATTTCCATTAGAGTATGCATTGAAGATGACCTCAATTGGTTGTTCAGTAGCTTTCTTACGGTCTTTACATTCATGGGCACAAAAAGATTTGAATTCTAACGTAGTGCATAGCAAGCTGCCTGGTATCACTAGTCACAATGGATCTACCTTATCTCTTCCAAGAAATAGATCTGATTCCAATAATACATCTATGAGCAATTCTAGAAATGAATCTTTTGTCAATAATTTAGGAGATACATTAACCGAAACTGATGATCCTGGACAATTTGAATCCCAGAAACAAAGAAAGAAGGCATTTTTGGAAGGAATTAGACAATTTAATCAAAAGCCAAAGAAGGGAATGAAATATTTCATTGCCAATGGATTTCTTACTTCGGAAGAACCACATGCTATTGCCAAATTCTTATTAGAAACAGATGGGCTTGATAAACAGGTTATTGGTGAATATCTTGGAGAAGGTGATGAAAAGAATATTGCAATCATGCATGCTTTTGTCGATGAACTTGAATTTGCTAATACTGATTTCGTTGATGCTATGAGATTATTTTTACAATCATTTAGATTACCAGGTGAAGCACAAAAGATTGATAGATTTATGTTGAAGTTTGCTGAAAGATACGTATTAGGCAATCCAAATGTATTTTCCAATGCTGAGTCTGCTTACGTGTTAGCATATTCGGTGATTTTGTTGAATACTGATTTACATTCACCACAAGTTAAGAAGAGAATGACGGTTGATAATTTTGTGACTAATAATAATGGTATTGATAATGGAGAGAATTTACCACGTGAATTTTTGGAAAAGATCTATCAAGAAATTCAGGAAGATGAAATTAAATTACAATCAGAACAACATGCAGCATTATTAGCTGGTGATGTTACCATTATGCGTCCTTCTCAAACTATTGGATTTTTCGGTGGTCGTGATATTAATCGTGAAGCTTATATCCATGCATCTAAAGAAATGTCAACCAAGACAGAAAAGTTGGTTAGAAGTTTAGGAAAGAAGGTCAAAAGTGATGAACATGAAGGTGTATTTTATGCAGCTACTAGTGTCTTACATGTGAAGTCAATTTTCGATACATTGTGGATGTCGGTTTTAGCAGCTCTTACTCCCCCATTTAAGGAATATGACGAAGAGGATGTAACTAGATTATGTTTGGAAGGGATTAAATTAGCTATTAAAATTTCATGCATGTTTGCCTTAGACTATGCTAGAACATCATATATTCGTGCATTAGTACAATTCCAGAATCTTAACAATTTCGAAGAAATGAAACAAAAGAATGTTGATGCAATTTATATTATGTTAGAATTAGCTGTTTCTGAGGGTGATAATTTAGGTGAGTCATGGCTGGATATTTTGTTTTCTACTTCTCAGTTAGAAAGACTTCAATTAATTGCACAAGGTGTTGATCAAGGTTCAATTCCAGATGTTTCTACTGCTAAGTTAGTTAATAGACATTCTATGGAACTTAATTCAAGAACAAGTACCAGCTTTTTTAGTCTGTTCACATCTCAGACACCTTCGCAGTCAGCATTAAGTAAGTTCCACAACCAGCATTTAAGTCCAGAAGTTTCTCAATTATTGGTAAAGACCGATTTGGCAGTTGCTATTGATAAGATATACACAAATAGTGCCAATTTATCAGGTGAAAGCATTGTTGCATTTGTGAAGGCGCTTTCAGAAGTGGCTAATGAAGAAATTGATTCATCTGGTCAAAGTACAAATCCTAGAACTTATTCATTACAAAAGGTGGTTGATATTTGTTATTACAATATGGATCGTATTCGTTTGGAATGGTCACATCTTTGGGCGATTATGGGAGAAACATTTAATAGTGTTGGTTGTCATACTAATCCTGCTATTCTGTTCTTTGCTGTTGATTCATTGAGACAATTATCTATGAGATTTTTAGAAATTGACGAATTGGCCCATTTCAAGTTCCAAAAAGAGTTTTTGAAGCCTTTTGAATATATTATTGTTCATAATGATTCTTTAGAAGTTAAAGATATGGTTTTAGAATGTATTAATAATATGATTTTAGCTCGAGCTGACAAGATCAAGTCTGGTTGGAAAACTATTTTTGCTGTATGTACTGCTACTGCCAAACAAAACAAGGAATCTCTTGTTATGAAGGCATATAAGATGGCAAATTGGATCAACAAAGAATATATTGAAGAAGTTAAACAACAAGATTCTTTCTCAGATTTGGTTCTTTGTTTCACTGAATTAACTAAGAATGAAAAATTCCAAAGAATTAGTTTGTTGTCATTAGATGTTATACTGAGATTAATCCATGAAATTGCTCAACTGAGCTTACTTAATGGAAGTAGTGAACAACCAAAGGATAATTCACCAGAAGCTCAACATGAAAGAAATGAACATTTAGTGAAATTGTGGTTTCCTGTGCTTTTTGCATTCCATGATATTATAATGACAGGTGAAGAATTAGAAGTGAGGTCTAGAGCTTTAAATAGTATGTTTAATGTTTTGTTACAGTATGGACCATATTTTGAATTGGAATTTTGGGATATGATTTGTTATAAGTTACTTTTCCCAATTTTTGCAGTTTTGAATGATCATTGGGAATTAGCATTGGATGATACGAATGATAAATTATCGGTTTGGTTGTCAACTACTTTGATTCAAGCGTTAAAGAGTATGATTTCATTGTTTACACATTATTTTGATGCATTAAGTAGATTGTTGGATGGTTATTTGAAATTGATTATTTCCTGTATATGTCAGGAAAATGATACAATTGCCAGAATTGGACGTGATTGTTTGGCAACATTATTGATTGACAATGCTGATAAGTTCAATAATGATCATTGGGCATTGATAACTGATGCATTCTGCAGCTTGTTTGAATTGACTACCGCAACTGAGTTGTTTACGTCTGATCCACTCCTAAGCAAAAGAATTGAAGAAGATACTGATATTGGAAATATTAACGATGCTGAAGAATCACCCAAGAGTCCTACTATAGAAGATGCAGAAGCTAGATTGGCGAAATCAAAGGAGAAATCGTCTATTGTGGTCAAGAGTGTTTTGCAATTGTTGCTTATCCAGACAACATCTGAATTATTTGAAAATGACGGATTCTATGAATCTATTCCATATGATTATTTGATGAAAATGGCAAAACTCTTACACAGTAGTTATCATTTTGCCAAAAAGTTCAATGATGATTATGACTTGAGAGTTCGCTTATGGAACACCGGTATTATTGAACGTCTTCCAAATTTGTTGAAACAAGAATCTTCATCTGCAGCTGTTTTTATCAATATTATGTTTAGAACCTATTGTGATGAAGAGAAGGCTTCTCCCGCTGACAAAGAAGAGATCATGAATTATATAATTCCATTATGTAAAACTATAATGGAAAGATATGCTGGATTTGACGAGACCAATCAACAAAGAAATATTACGACTTGGAAGCCTGTAATTGTTGAAATTTATCAAGGATATGTTGAATTAGATGATGAAGATTTTACCAAGTATACCCCAATTATGTATAAGTTAACATTAGAATTATTTTCCAAAAGTATGTCTCCTGATTTACGTATGGCAATACGTACATTCCTTGCTAGAGTAGGTGAAGAGTTTGTAAAATTACCAGAGAAAGATGATGAGGAAGAAGAATCATGAATAAAGAAGTTTATTAATGTTAGTGGTTTTTAATAGTATTTTGTTTAGTTGTTTGTTTTAGTAAATAAATTGTATGTATAGAATTATAATTACTGTATCTTAAACTTATAGTAGTATGAGTTTAGTTAGTACTGTAATTTACTGACTCAGTATTAAATTTACTGTGGACTCTATTTAGTAAATTTCAGTTTGAGGTTTCGCACACTCCCCTAACCCTGCCCTGCCCTGAAAAAAAAAAAGTGCAAAGTGAGAAGTCGTCGGTCAGCTAAAAAATTTTCAAAAAAGTCAAGAGAAAATCATTTCATCCCCCTTAGAATCTCTGTTCTTAAAGAAAGGTTCCCCCATAGACAATCAGAAAGAAGAATAAGAAATGTCTTTTCAAAACAAAGTATGTCTATAATTGAAACTAGTCATGAAAATATACTCAATGGAATGTTTAGATCTCAATTGGCGTTCTCCAGATATACGGACCCCCCCCAAATAAGGCCCGCTCCACAAAAAGGTCAATTTGAAATTTCTTTCTCGGTTTTGCTGGTTCAAGTGCTGCCAATTGATTCCACATTGTGGGGCAAGTAGTGTCTTAAATAAAAGAGATCACACAGGGGTTGTCAATGTTTATATGATAGTGAGTCATAATCATAGTACTGAATTCCATGAATTTTAATCGTGTGAGAAGATTATGAGATTTTAGTCCATTGTTATAATATTTTCTATCCCCATTGGCCAATTGAATAAAGCGAAATACTAACATACTTTCTAGAACTTATACGACTTATTAGGTAACGATATTGAAGACGAAAATGCCGCCCCAGCTTTACCACCAAAGGTAGTTACCAAGAAGGCCACTACTTCCAAGAAGGCTGATGCTGCTCCAGCTTCTGCTGACCCAGCTAAGGCCAGAAAGAACAAGAAGGCTCCTACTGGTAACGAAGGTGCTTTAAGATCTAAGGCTAACAACAAGGACGTTGATGCCCCAGCATCCACTCCAACCAAGCATACCAAGAAGGCTTTCGATCGTCATTCTAGAACTGCTAAGGTTGACTCCCCAAAGAAATTCAAGCAAGGTTGGGGTAACGACGAAACCAGACAATACGAAGGTGAAGTCGAAGGTGCTCAAGATGCTGAAGCTGAATTAGAAGGTGAAGCTGCTGAAGAAGAAGCTGAACCAACTGTTCCTCAAAAGTCTTTACAAGAATACTTAGCTGAACAACAAGCTAAACAACAAGAATTAGAAGGTGCTAAGAAGCTCAGACAAGCTAACGAAGGTGCTGAAGATAAGTGGACTGCCGAAGAAAAGATTGAAAAGCAACAAGAAGCTTACTTTGCTTCTACTGCTGCCAAGAAGACTAAGGCTAAGGCTCACAAGGAAAAGGTCTTTTTAGATGTTGAAGCTCACTTTGCTGATGAACAACCAGCCTTCAACAGCAACAGAGGTGGTGCCAGAGGTGAATCCAGAGGTGGTGCCAGAGGTGGATCCAGAGGTGGATTCAGAGGTTCCAGAGGTGGTGCTAGAGGTGGTTCCAGAGGTGGAAGAGGTGGTGCTAGAGGTGGTAGAGGTAAGGAAACTTCCCCAAAGCCAGCTTTAACTGAGCAAAACTTCCCATCCTTATAAGTCTATCGTCCTCAACTTCATGAACGTGTTATGTAGCCTATGTTGTTATATTTGGTTATAAGTTTATTGTTTAAAAAATGATTTCTTTTAATTGACCCTTGATAAATAATTATAAAAGGTAATGTAAGTAAATTTTTTGTATTTAATTAAATAAATTTGCATACAATAATTTATAAATGTATTTTTTTGGATTTGTTATAAGGAATTGGTTTGTAGTCAAATATAATCTCTAATTGCTCTTGTTTCTCTCTAATAAGTTGGAAGCTTACCAGACTTCTCAATTGCACGCAATTGGTGGGAAAGGGAGAACCCAGATCTCTGGTACATTCGGCCTCCTATTCTATTTTTTCGGTCTCGGCTGCAACATCAAGTATGAAGGAGTGTGGGAAAAAATCATGTGCACTTAACTGCCGTCAATTCTACCGCCCCACACAGCTTTTTAATCTCCCCTTCTACAACTACAGGAGGTGATAAATACTTCAACCAATCCCCTTTCTAAGAAAATACTGCCAATATGGATAGTCAAAGAATTCGAGACAAAGCATTAGGATTCCTTGCTCTGACCATTGAAAAGAGTAACAATTTCGCCGAAGCACGTCCAGGTAGTAAACGAGCAATAGCAGTAGGAACAGCTTCAACATTAATGGAAATAGGCTTCGAACAATTAAACAAAAAGGAGGACGGCGAATTAACGGATCTTACCGAACAAGAGATAGCGCAAATCGAATCAATGGAATCATCGGCAGAGGATGTAAAACCGGCTCTGTCCAAACATTTTACGGATCGATTGTTTGATAAATTAATTCAAACGTCGCTTCCTCCGGATATTACTGATACTATGTTCGACGAGGATGCTGCTAGTGATGATGACGATGACGATCGTTCATCAAAACAAAGTTTGTCATTTTCGTTATTGGTGAATAATTTAACAAAATTGACTGCTAAATTGACATTTTATTTTGTCTTGCAATATGGAATATTACACATTATAACTTGGAAACAGCCAACCAAAACATTGACTGCACTTGTCTTATATCATGGGGTATGTTTATGGCCACACCTTGTGTTGGTATATCCGTTGATGTATATATTATTTGGAGTGCTTGTTCCGGGATATGTTCATAAACATCCTATGAAGAGATCAGATCTTATCAGGGTGCTGGCAAGGGGTCAAAAGATATGGGAGTTTTTCAGTAGTGAGGAAACAAGTATTGTGAATGAATACATAGAAGATGACTATACGATGGATGACACGTTATCAGTATCATCGGATAATGTTTCCGTGTTATCACAAGCTCCAAGTGAGTTTGCTTCCTCTACTGAGGAGTTCAAAGAGTCAGCTAAGAAGAAGAAGAATTCACAAGTTACTTTGGTTAGAAATATGAAACAAATCCAAAAATTGACAACTGATTTATTGAAAGGGATCGAAAAGGCTGAAACATTTTATTATGAAACTGGTGGGTTTAAAGATGAGAGATTGTCCACGTTTATCTTCTACGGGATATTAATTGCGTCATTTGTAGTTGTTTTTCTTGGGCAATTCATACCGTGGAGATTTGTATTTATCTCAGCGGGATGGGTAGGTTTAACATTATGTCACCCAAATGCCAAAAAGTACTTATTGGAATTACAAAATGCAAAAAAGACCGTGGCACCCAGATATCCCCATGCGCCACCAGAGAGCCACCTGGCTGAAAAGCAACAATTTGATAGAGATGATATAATCGTGGATGACGCACCTGATATTCGGACTGTAGAAGTATTTGAATTACAAACTCGAAGTTCATTTAGTGGTAGTTGGTCATTCTATAGATTTGCCTCGACAATGTATGGGAGGAATGACAAGTTGAGAGTTAGCAAGAAGAGACCACTGGGAGTTGAAGATTTAGCTCGTGTTTTGCCTCCGAAAGATTGGATGTTTGATTTTGGATTGGTTAATAAATGGAAGGTCGATTTGGATCCAATTAAGTTCGTACAGGAAAGAGAATTTGATCCAGAATTATTTAAGATTGATATACATGAAAAGGAAGGTTGGATATATGATAATTTGAATAATGTTGAAATGATGGATTTTGATTTTCAAGTCAGAAGGAGAAGATTGTTCAGAGACTGTTTTAGATATGGACGTCCCCATAAAACATCTACTAGTAGTAGTTAAGTTAGAATAGTTTATCAGTATTTATTATTATGCATTATACTATTTATTCTATTAATCGACTCCAGGCATCCCAAAGAAAAGTAATCTATAACAAGAAGTACCCGGTTCAGTGAAATGATCGTAATTATTTGGAATTCGATCACCACAAAGAAAACAAAAACTGGTATTACATTCTGAACATTTCATTTTATTACATCCGTCCGTTTTCTCTATAACAACTCCACAATTTGGACATTCTTTAACGTCCATACTTTCCTTAAGCATTTGTTCAAACAATTTGTCCATATTGAATTCATCAATTGCATGAAGAATACGATTTCGGCCATATTTGGCATTTAATGTCTTTTTCTCATACGAATCTTGTGGTAAAAGATTATACTTCTCTAGATCCTCCACGGGAATACCCAGATATTTCTCATCCCCACTAATCTTATGACATAGTTTGAATCTCGCATGATAGGATTTTCGACAATCATTACAGAAGGCATATCTACATTTTGGACAGACTACCAATCTTTCACTTAGATCTTCACGAAAAACTGCCTCGTCACAACCTATTCTAGGACATTTGACAAGACGATCGGGTAGTAACCTCCCCACCACTTCAAATTGAGCTTTTTTGTGTAGGGATATATACCTCTTAACCAATTCACTCGCTTCATGGGCTGGAAGTTTGGTTTGGAGGATACTTGTAAGGATATGAATTGGCATTGGTGGTTGCAACAAATTCCCAACTATATCTTTCACTTTTTTGTCATTAAATGTCCAGGTTTCCAATTTCATAAAGTCTTCTCTTGATTTCTGGAATTTCTTTGTACATTCAAAATTTGGACAATGAACCTTATCTATCTCACCTAAAGTAATCAGAGATGAGAAGAATTCGTATAAACAATTATTGCAGAAGACATGGCCACATTCATCAAATTTCTGACATTGTTTTCCTTTATAATCAGTCTGGCAAATCTCACACGAATATGTTGTTTCGTCAAATTCTGCTTGTTTTATGTGTTTATCATAATCTAGCAATTGATAATACTTATCAAAATCATCCACTATGTCTATGGTGGTTCCAAATAGTTCAGGTAGATTATTTTGCGTTTGATCTTGAATATAGTCTATTAAGTGAAAAAGTACTTGATCTCTATAATCAGGCCATATGGAATTTAAATGGTCTTGTAAATCATCGATCTGTTTGTCTTGTAAAGAAGTAGATGAGATCTGAATTTCAGGGGCAGCTTCATAGGGATACAGTTCCGATAACTGAAATTCTAACCTGATAGGTTTTAAATTTATAATGACACTAGTAGCTACCAATACTTTAGTACCAGCACTAGGTCCAGATTGAAATAATCTCAATTCGGTGTCCTTTTCAAGTTTGATTGGGATGTCGATGGACCCTTGAAAATTGGTATAGTTAATCTTCGAATCTGGATAAATGAGTTTACAAGATTGTAGTTCTTGTATTCGTATGTCGTCTGAAAATTCTTCGTCCATATGATGTTCCATTGGGGTTATATCATGTGTGGTCATCTTGTCATTTGAGATTTTTGAAAGCTGGAAAGGTTGTTCAATTAATTTATAATGAGGATTCATTCTATGCAAAGAAAGACAGAAGGATGCGTCATTTAGACGTTCGGAAAAATCACGACTTCTCCGTCACATTCTCGAGAAAAAATATTTAAATTTTCTGTCTTAATAAATAAAAGTGGACACCAAATCAAATTGAAAAAACTAAAGACCAAACAACAACATTTAATAAAGCAAAGCAAATATGGAGGGATCATCGTTTGCAAAGAGAGTAAAGACTTTCGATGCATTTCCCAAAGTGAATTCACAACATACACTTAGATCTGAAAGAGGAGGATTGTCCACATTAATGACATATTTTTTTGGACTCTTTTTCATTTGGATAGAAATTGGTGGATTCATAGGTGGTTATGTCGATAGACAATTTGTAGTTGATAATGTAGTGAAATCCAATTTAACCATAAATATTGATATGCTTGTTGCTATGCCTTGTGAATCCATTCATACAAATGTTATAGATATCACTCGTGATAGATATATGGCTGGTGAAACATTAAATTTTGAAGGTATTACCTTTTTCACTCCACCTGGATTCAATATTAATAATTTAAATGATCGTCATGATACTCCAGAATTAGAAGAAGTGATGCAAGAGAGTTTAAGAGCAGAATTTAGAGTACAGGGTTTAAGAAAAAATGAAGGAGCACCTGCTTGTCATATATTTGGTTCAATTCCAGTAAATCAAGTTAAAGGTGATTTTCATATAACTGCCAAAGGAATAGGATATCGAGATAGGCTGCAAGTTCCTATTAAGAATTTGAATTTTTCTCATGTTATTCAAGAGTTTTCATTTGGTGATTTTTATCCATTTATCAATAATCCTTTAGATGCAACTGGGAAAGTTACTGAAGAACATTTACAAAGATATATTTATCATGCAAAAGTTGTCCCAACCATGTATGAAAAACTTGGTTTACAAATAGATACGAATCAGTATTCATTAACTGAAAACCATCATGTTATAGTACTTAACCCGGTCACTGGTGTGCCAAATGGAATTCCGGGGATATTTTTCCGTTATGATTTTGAACCAATAAAGTTACAAATTGTCGAGAAAAGAATTCCATTCATTCAATTTATTGCTAAATTAGGTACAATTGTAGGAGGGCTTCTTGTAGCGGCGGGATATCTTTTCAGATTATACGAAAGCTTGCTTGCTATATTATTCGGAAAGAAATATGTGGATAAAGATAGAGAAAAGAAACAAGGTGGTTTATTAGATAGTGAGGTTGATGTTAAGGAGCATGACAACTAAAAGTGGTAGGTTATGACCGCATTGCAACTCTATCTCCAGTTGACAAAGTAATTCTTTGTACATCTTGTTTGTTTTCAGTTCATTGTTAATCCTTTTCATTTGTTATTTTAAAATATATGTTTATACGTTTACATAGATTGCATTGTAATATATATAAAAATCAACCTATTGGAGTGAATAATAAACGCCAAATGTAGTGGGGAGTTTACAATGAATCTGCACATGTTTAGCCAAATATCGTATTCTATTTAAAAATGTTTCAGAAAAGCAGAATTCTATATATTTGTTTACCCCACAGAGAGATACCTTCTTATTCTTCTTGTTTTCAGAAATTTAGTTTAAATTAAAGCCTGAAAAAAAGAATTGATAAGATCGGTTTTTTGATTGTAAATCTTTTTTTTTTTTCAATTTAAGGAGTTTAGGTTTTCTTTATGAAGTATACTATTCAAAAACAATAGAACTGAAGTTATTAGAACAATTTAGGAAATATGGCCCCCTCAAAGAAGATAACAAGAAGCAGAAATGGTTGTCATCCTTGCAAAAAGTTGAAAATTAAATGTGATGAAGGGAAACCAAGTTGTGGTTATTGTACCAAGAAAAATCGCAAATGTGATTATAGTTTAGTCTTGAATTGGGGTGGAAGATCAAAGGGTTCCACCAAAGCAAATGATATAAGCACCCCTATTCCTTCGAGCAGTCGAACAGAGGAACATTCGTCAATACAGATAGATATGAAGCCTGAAGTTATTCAAAAGCTGCCAGAAATAATTACCAAATTAAAAAATGACTCAAAAAGGCGACAGAAAATGGAAATCGTCTTCAACTTGGCCAAACCAAACGGCAAAAGTCTGGTGAAAGAGAAGAGCAGCTATCATGAACCTCGCATTCAAGAAATAAATGTTACTAGAGAATATCAACGGGATATGCACTTAGGACCAGAGGAACATTCCACGACTTACTCCACCAAATCTTACAACTCAGACCACACGCTCACAACCCTACACGAAAATAAAGACATTCATGTATCTCATACCAATAAGCGCTCGAGGTCTGATAATGGATATAAATCAACGAAAAAACAAAGACACGATTATCTTCAGTTACATGAACTTATAGAATCCCAAATAGATCCATTTCCTGTTTCACATACAAGTCATTTGTTTGAGAGTACAGCACTTACTCCGGTGGCCTCCCAATTGAATAATAATGATATTGCAAATGATATGGAAATCATGTCGGAAATAGGAAGCCACCATGATACCGTGTCGTCCATATTAATGTCCCCAGCCCCTCTGGGAATGGAAGAGTTATTTGATGCTCTTGACGAGTTTGCATATAATGGTGTGCCTTTCCAATTTGACTCACTAGCTGATCTGACATTCTTATCAAATCCCAGAGTAAACCATTCAGAGACAGTATCTCAAGTCAGTCATCAAGTGAATTCTGGATTTATTCAAAAGGTTGATAACTTTCTTGTTGACTATAAAAATGATATTGAAAAGCTTGAAAAATATCTACCGAAAGTACAAACCAATTACAACTGGATAAATAAAAAATTAATTCGTGGAGGAAGTAGTAGTTCAAGTGAAAGTTCGAGTGAAAACTCGTCACTGATGGATCCTTTCGAAACTTTCATAATCCCGAGAAATCTTGAGCCATTACCCACCTTGTTACTTGAAGTTCCTTTTTATAAGAATTTGTTACATTTTTGGGTCAATGTGTCTTCTAAGCAATTAGTTCCTGCTCCTCATTATGAAGACAATCCTTTCACGATATTGCTTACACAAATGGCAATGGAATATCCTTCAATTTTGACTGTCCTTTTGGCATTTTCTGCAAAGGCAAGATCGGGTTTGCTTGATTCTAATGATATGCCCGATTCTGTTATTGACCAATTGTTAGCCAGGTCATGTTCTGAACTTTTAATAATGTTGAGAAATAGACGTAGTGCCACTTCAGATGCTGCCTTGGCTACCTCAATGTTTCTCTCATGTTTTGAATTAATGAATTCCACTCATGATTTCCAAAAACATCGTGCTCATACCATTGGAGCAAGACAAATAATCAAAGCAAGAGCATCTCTTTCAAAGAGACCAGCATCTGTCACAGAGCAAGATATTGCAAATTTTTTGGTTCGGTGGTTTGTGTATGTTGATTTAATAGGTGGATTATCTGCTTCGAAACCTCAAAATTATGTTTTAGTCTCGGATAATGAACAAGGATCCTATGAGCCTCTCGAAATACTTAATATGATGAATAATGAGGAACGTTCAAATACCCTTGAGGAAGATCCTGGAAAGGATATTGATCATTTAATGGGATTTGATACTAAGTTCTTGCCTCAGTTTATGAAAACAGTTATGTTAATTAGAAAAGTTGATAATTATTTATTAGCCTCCGGGGATAGCAATCCAGCAATTCCATTGGATATAATACAAGAAGCACTTGAAGTAAAAGAAACAATGCTTCAAATCTATCATCAAGATGAGGAACAAATAGAAAAAGCACGATTAATGTTTATGCAAGAAAAATCCCAATTGAAAGATCAAATGGTTGAAAACTCTTCACCTCCTTATATTGCCAGTAGAATTCAAGAAAATGAGATTCTTGGATATACTAACAAAGTATTCTGTGATACTGGTATAATTCAATTATATCGAAGAGTATTGAAAATTCCTCGAAGTTCTCCAATTATTCAAAGATTAGCTACTGGAATGGCTACCATAATGAGAGATCATATAGAATCAAGGTCACCAACTGAGATTTGTTGTATTTTTTGCTTTTTCACTGCAGGATGTGAAATATTAGATCCAGAAATGCAACAATTTTTTCATATGAGATTTACTCGATTAATTAAAATGGGAAATTCAAATGCAAAGAAAGGTTTACAAGTTATGAAGAGATGTTGGGAAACTAATGAAGATTGGTTGACCGCTGCTGATAATTTAAATATAGACATTATTCTTTTGTAGTAATAGTTAGATGTTAATAATACATACATTGAGTAGTTTAAAAGAAGACGCGTCCAGTTTTGTGAAATTTGGCCAAACCCATAATTCTTCTCTGCGAAGCTTTTGGTAGGATTTTTTTTTTTGAGCGTTTGATCTTTTTTTACAACCAACTTCAGATGGACATAAAGTAAATATTAAATTGAATATATCAAGAATAAGTTCATGTTGTCCGAAGATCCTATCAAACCTGAAGGGTTTGATGAGTTGATAAATTTAATAGAAAGATCGAATAATGAATCAGGAAGTAGTGAAGTACAAGAAACTGTACTTAAACAATCATACCAGTATCTATTGCAAAACCAACATAATCAACATTGGTTCTGTGATTCGTATATGTTTCGACCAGCAACTCATGCATTGATTCTCTTCTCGTTCCCTAATAACCAACTCCTTCTGAAATTACAACCTTTTATAAAGAGAAGTTTGACAAGTTGTGAAGATTGTTTAAGATACTTTAATAGAGGTAAAGCTGAACTTCGTCTTAATTTTGCCATTAATAAAGGAATTAAATTGAATATGGTTGATCAATTCTTAGCAGTACTAGTACAATGGGAATCATCGATTCTAGGCCCAATGTTGACGAATATTAACAATGAGTTACTAAATCTAATAACGTTGACAAATGAAGTTAATATTAGCATTGCTTGGTGTTTGAATAATCCAACTATCCTACGTAACGAAAGAATAGTGAGAGAGGAATTCACAAGGCTTATTAAATATTTGTATGGTAATAAATTACTCCCGTTGCCGAATCAATTGTTTCCAGGTATGATATACTTAATGTTTGAAGGTTGTACTGAAGAGAAAAGATGGGTCAAGCAATGTTTTTCAAGATTATTAGAGTCAAAATTTCAATTTAACAAGTTAACATTAGAAGAAGAAGTAATTCATGAATTTTCAATTCATTTCTATCGAATACAGAAATCCGATTTTTACAATGATAGAAATGCTATAATATTCTGGGGAAATTTTTATACAATTTTGGATTTTATTGATGACGAGTCATTCATTCTTCGTTTTAATACTCCAAAGGATATCAAGGTTATGTCCGAATCAACAGAATTAAGATTTTATCCAATAATAAGACTACTTATGAATAGTTTGATGTCATACTTGAAAGAACCATTACCGATTTTATTGAAAGTATTTAGTAAATTGTTGGGAAGATATAAAACCAAATTCTGGGCATTTTCCACTCCAATAAACCATATCCAGATTCTTGACTCCGTTTTATCTAATCCTGAATTCTCAAGACAACTCCAACTGGCAGCAATTGACGCACATGGCGTGAATGATTGGACGCTAGATGAAATAACTGCCTGGATGTTTAACTTGCTCCCATCATTGACAAAAGCTCAAAAAAATACCTCATGTATTCGATTAGGTTTATTTTTATTAAAGCAAAACATTGCTACGGCTTCCATTTATGATGATAGATTAAAGAAAATGAAGTTATTGCAGAATATTGGTTGTCGTATTTTGTTGTCTGGATTTGATGATGTTTCCCTTGACCAAGATATACTGGAGAAAAACTTTTCCGTAAGCTTAATGACTGTGAGAGATATCAGAACCAGTATTGAGTATGAGGCAGACCAGATTGTTGACTTATCCTTTGACTCACAAGAACTGAATCTTGCCATGCAATTAGTTGTAAAGTGCATGAATTATGACCTTTCCATCTTGGCGCACAATACTGCTCTCTTGCAACAGGATGTCCCACCAACTACATTTGATACATTTCCACTTCTTTGGGAAACTCTTTGTAAGCGCAAAATTTATTCTAATCTACTTCTAGCAAAGCAGTTAGTGGGTTCTTTGAAACTTACTTCTAAGGTTATTCAATTTGCACCTCAGAAAAATCAAGAGTCTAATAAGCAATTATTTGATTCTAAAAAGCAGCATTATGAGAATGTATCGAGGATTGGCAATCTTGCAAAGCAATTGTTGGAGAAATTGAGTTTAGCTGATGAAGGTATCATAAAGAATATTATTGAAGATGGTAGTTGTCTGGATGCAATTTGGGCTTGTGTTTTTTCTCCATTACTTAGTCAATCAGCACTTGGTTTATTCAATGGAGTATTTGATGCTGATGGTCGTTTTGAAACATTTCAAGCAGTTTTATCCAAGAATTTAGGTGTGACTTTAGCTTCTATTAACTTGAATCTTGATGTTTTAACAAAATTACAAGCGTATGAGCCAACCCCCAAAGCTGTTAGAATCATGATGGATGTGGTACGTGCATTGTGTGACCCTCTTAGTCCAATTCTAGGTACGTCGAGCCAAGTTTCAGAAAATGGGGATCAAATTATACAATTATGGAAGAATAGTTGGCTGTTTCTAGTAATGATTTATCAGAGAACATTTGTTTGGGCAAATCAGTTCCATTTAGAAGAGTTGGTTGAGTTTACTAGAGATGTTTTAGATTTCAGTCATTTGCTTATTGATTCTTTTAGAATCATACTTGATAACATTAACGCTCATACCCCAGAAGACACGCCAACCAGATTGTTCAAAGTATTTATGAGTGCATTTCATTATGTTGTTGTTTGGTTGAGGCTTGGTGATCTTTCCCTTTTGAATTCATGTGTGGATCTTGTTTTTAAGGGGTTTTCATTAGCTGCAGAAAATCATTTTACTATCGATACCGAATTTATTGAAAATTTTGCAAGATTTGGAGCTAAGGCAAAGAAGTTTAACAGTAAGTTATCTGAAACCCAAAGGCAACAAATTTTATCAACGGCTAGAGAATTTGATTATGAATTAGTTGATAGAATCCAAGAAGATGCAATTCAGCATAGACAAGCCAAACATAAAGTGGAAGTTATTGATATTACTGATAGTGAAGAAACTCCAGAGCCACCTCTGTCGTCTCAATACAGTTCCAGATCGGTCACACCCAAACAACAAACTCTTGGAAGATTTGGTGTTGTTACTAATGAGCCCCCAATTGCACCTCCTCCACTAATTAAAAAATTCCAATCAACAAACCTAGAAGCAATTAGAAAAGAATTAAAAAGTGCTAGAGTTGCCCCTGCAAAACCTGTGGCTGCACCCGCGCTTCCAAGGCCAGCAGGTTATAATCTGAAGAAAGCCCCTCCTGTTATCGGTAGGTCCTTGAATGCGTTGAAGAAAAAGAGAGTTGATTCGGATTCGTCAGATGAAGAACCAGATACAGATCTTTCGGATTTATTTGTTGATAAAGGAAAGAAGAAACCTAAGATTATAGAAGTGGATCATAATCTCCGAGAAATCAATCGTTCATTGGCAAGGAAAAGGGTGGTTGATCAAGCGAAATTAGAACAAGAAAGAATGAGAATGAGATTGAATGTGAACTTAAAACCATTATACGACAATATATTAAGATGGAACTATAATGTCAAGCGAGATTATCCTACTGAGGACACTAGCATGTATGAGCAAGTTAAAGATAGATATAAAGATGCGAATGAGTATGTGAAAGTAACTGAACCACTTTTGATGTTAGAATGTTGGCAAGGTATCCAATCTGCAAAGGATACAGGAACAGAACTTCCGTTTGAGCTTTTGATTGGTAGTAGGACAAGTGTAGATGGGTTTTTTGATGTCTTTGCTTCGATTGAAAAAAAGACCCTTCAGGATAGACGAATTGGGGAATCCGACCTTCTAGTTCTTGGATTTATGAACGACTATATTAGTAATCCGAGGTTGATGAGGTCTTATTTGAAAGCGGAATCTACAATAACATGTTTGGCAAAGGTCAGAGAAATTAAATCAGCTAATGCCGAGTTTGCAGATATTACATTTAGGGTTTATCCAAGTGGTCCATTAATGGGTGCACTTACACCAAAATCCATTATCGTTGCTATGCGTGTTATGCAAATGACTACTGTTGAAAGAGAGTTTGCATCTTTGAAGGGATTACAATACTATGACTTGTTAACTCCCATCCTTCATGCTGAGGCTAACCGACCAATGGAGGTTGATGACGAAGAAGCTGAAAAAATGCGTAAAGTGTTTGATGTTAATAAATCCCAAGCTAAAGCAATCATGGGCACATTTAAGAGTGAAGGGTTTTCATTGATTCAGGGTCCACCAGGTACAGGTAAAACAAAAACAATTTTAGGTATTGTGGGTTATTCATTAAGTCATCAGAAAGACACCAAAATTATTGACGCTCCGGGACAGAAGGCTCCGGTTACTGATCAAGCGAAAGTTTTAATCTGTGCCCCAAGTAATGCAGCGGTAGATGAACTTGTTGTCAGATTGAGAGATGGTGTTCGAAATGCAAATGGACAACACATGCCCTTAAGAGTTGTCAGATTGGGGAGAAGTGATGCTATAAACGCTTCTGTCAGAGATTTGACCTTAGAAGAATTGGTTGATAAGGAATTGCAAGAAAGATCGTTTGATGTGAGTATTGATCCGACCATCAGGCAAGAGCATACGAAATGTATAAAAGAAAGGGATCAAATAAGAGCTAGATTGAACACTGAAAGTTTGGACGAAAAGGAGACAACTGAATTGGAAACAAGGTTACGAGAAGTAAATAAGAAAAGAAATGAATTAGCAAAAAGGTTGGATGAACAAAGAGAGAGAGCTTCGATTGCATACCGTACTAAAGAAATCGATAGAAGGAACATTCAAGCTAGAATATTGTCACAGGCACAAGTTATCTGTTCTACATTATCAGGTTCAGCACATGATTTTTTGGCTAATCTCTCGGTTAAATTTGATCAAGTGATAATTGATGAGGCATGTCAATGTGTTGAGTTATCAGCTATCATTCCATTAAGATATGGTTGTAAGAAATGTATTATGGTTGGTGATCCAAATCAGTTACCTCCAACTGTTTTGTCTCAAGCTGCAGCTTCCTACAATTATGAGCAGAGTTTGTTTGTAAGAATGCAGAAGAATAACCCATCTTCTGTGTATCTTTTAGATGTTCAGTATAGAATGCATCCAATGATATCTCGATTCCCTAGTGCAGAGTTCTATAAATCCAAATTAAAGGATGGTGAGGGTATGGAAGAGAAAACTACGAGACCCTGGCATGCGGAGCTACCACTTACACCTTACAGATTCTTTGATATCCTTAGTAAGCATGAACGAGATAAAACATCGAAATCTTTATTCAACCAGGAGGAAGCCAGGGTTGCGTTGGAATTAGTTGAGAAATTGATGAATATTTTGCCAGAGAAGAAATTTGCAGGACGTATAGGTATCATTTCACCGTATAAAGAACAAATTGGAACAATTAGAAGTATGTTTGTTAAGAAGTATGGAAGAATAATCACTGATGAAATTGATTTTAATACAGTTGATGGGTTCCAAGGTCAGGAAAAAGAGATTATTATTATGTCATGTGTTAGAGCAAGCCCTTCAGGTAATGTGGGATTTTTAAGTGATGTTAGACGTATGAATGTTGCGCTTACTCGTGCGAGAACGACACTTTGGATTCTTGGTAACAGGCTGTCCTTGTCGAGAAATGGGGTGTGGAGGAGATTACTAGAGGATGCTGACTCTAGAGGTTGTTTATCGCAGGCTTATCCTGGTTTTATGAATACATCTACAGGAGAGAAGCGGAAAGCCGATCAAGAAAATTCCTCTGGAAGCAAACTGAAGAAGAGCAAGAAGGAAAAGAAAGAGAGGAATGAAAATAAAGATAAATCAAATAAGTCTGAATCGAATGAGCAAAGTGAGTCGAAGAAGCCAAAAGGCGTGACTAAACCAAATGAAGAATCAGCAGCTAAAATTCAACCCGTCAGAAGCGGTATTTTTACGGCTCAGCACCCTGTTCCAAAGCGCCTACCAACAAAGGCTGATCTGCTAGCAGCGGCTCATAGGCTTCAAGCGGAAAAGTCGCAGCATAGGAATATGGTTCCACCTGTAAGTACGCTTCCGAATCTTCCACCGTCCTCTGCTATCAATCAACCTGCTAGAACCCCATCTCCGACTAGTGTGGGATATCTTCCGAGCAAACCAACACATGACGGCGTGAGAAAGACACCTCCGATAACTAACGCCGGATATTTGCCAAGTAAGCCACAGTCTAACAATTTACAACTGAATGTTATGATACCCACAAAATCAGGAATGATAGGTGCTGTTCCTTCTTCGAATAGTCAAGATACCAGCACGTTCCGTCCAACATCTTCTGGACATATTAAGCCCCCTCTTCCCCGTCCCAATGTTCCTGCTCCAAAGAAGAGTCCTGGAAGTATCTTTATACAAAAGAGAAAGCCACCTCCAAAACGCTAGAATTTTATGATTTAGGATGCTTTTTTAAAAGAATAATTATATAACTTAAACTTTATAGAATATATTATGTAATTTTATTCAAGCTTAGTCTGTTTCATCGATCCCTGATCGACCGCGCTAACCATGTGTATTTGAGAAGTTGGCTTTGAAGTGGATGGCATAATTGGAGATGAAAACGAGTTCCTACCACTGTTTGATGATTTTTCCATTGAATTGACTGATTCTTTGCCCACATTCTCATAATCGTTCAATATTTCATTTAATTGGTTCCCTTGGGATACAAGCCTAAGTCCTTCGATGATTGCTTGCACTTCATTAGAAATCATACTTTGGAGAAGTTTCTTGTGGCGGACCTGTTCTTCGTTATTTTTTGTAGCTAGCTTTGTCGTGGAATCTAAAATCTGGTTCAATTCTTTAAGTGACCCCGTCAATATCCCGAAGACTACTTCGTTATTCGCTTGTGGTGTAGATTCAATTAAAGCATTATGTAATTTCTCTTCCTGGGAGTCCAATAGAATACAAGCATTATTCCAACATTTCCCAATGTCGTGAAATAAAGCAGCATTTTTGGATGTTTCTAAAGTTAAATCTGTCAATGCTTCCATTTTATGTTCTAAGAACTTAACGATGGGGACCAAATCCAACTTTTGGGATATTGTATTATATAAATCATCAACTCTTGTCTTACGTGGTAAGACAGATCTATTATTGTTAGTCTTGGTTTGAGGTTCCGGTAGGGTAGATTCTAATACTTTTTTCATCACTTTTTGTAACTTTGCTTTCATGGCCATTGAATTTTGAGTTCCTTTTGCATATCCTTTTTCATAAGGTGTTGGGCCATGTTCGTGATTTTTTAACCATAAATCATCTTTCGGCTTATTGGCAGTATTGCTTTCGTCTGGGAGTACGTATGGTTGGATTCCGATCTGCTGGGTTGCCTTGGAACCGTTCTCTTGAGGGAAGATTGTGGTAGATGGAACATTTGTTGGCGCAGAAACATTTTCGGGGTCCGATACTATAGCGAGACTAGCGGGGTTGACAACACTGCTGTGGTCCAAAGTAGTGGGAGTTATATTATTCAAGAAAGTTACATCAACTGGCACAGTTTTGATAATTCGTTCAACTTCTGCGGAAGGCACTCCATTTGAAATCAAGAATGAAAGCATTTCTTCTTTTCCTGTCTCTTCCATATTTCTAAAAATATTAATATACTTTGCAGTCTTGCTTTCCAATACACTGCTGGTATCTTCAATTTCTTTTGTTACAACTTGTTTCCGAGTCTTTAGGGTCTGTAGCTTTTGTTCAAGTTCTTCAATTTCTTGATCAATTCCAATGGATTTATTTAAAAGGTCCATCATTTTGCTTCCATGTTTGCTCTTTGGGCTCTTGATATCTTTGATCTTGTTTAGTACTTTGTCTCGTTTCTGGTCCCATTTTTTGAATGCCCCATATAGTCTTTCAGTATAATCTGCATCCTTTGAATATAATTCATTTAATGAATAATAGTTTCGTGACACTTGATCGTAATCATTCAAGATAGAATTTCGGAGGGCATGTAATCTATCATCTCCCTGCTTCAAAAATGCAGCATGAAATTTTGAATTCCTATTTAGATCCTGTAATTGATGTTTAATCTTATCAGAAACATATTCAATGGGAGATGTGTCATTCGCTTGTATGTTTGTATTACGAACAGCGAAGTCTCTTGGAAATACAATTGAATCCTCATATACGCTTTCAAATTCGCTTCCCCTTAGAGTATCTATGGATCTAGCATCAAGTGAAGTTTTGGCAACACCAAGATTATTACCTTTCCTATGTCTACTATTCCTCAAATTCAACGGCTTTGGAATAAGCAATTCATCCACATCATCAACATTGTTTGTCTTGTCGGTTGAAATGAATAATACTGGATCAATATCATGTTTAATATCTTCCTCTTCTTCATCACTGGTAGTGGAGTTGGCAACTGATTGTAGTCTCCTTAGTGGCGGTAGAGAAGCTTGAGCTAATTGAGTTGTGGATGCTAAATTTATGGACTCAAATCCATTGCTTGAGGACATATTTCCTACGTGTTTGTGTGAGATATCTTATTAATTGTGAGGTAGGAGCAAGATTACCTTGGTGTGAAAGATAGCTTAATTTTCTAGCACCTTATCAAACTGTGAGTGGTTTGAGATTTTTTGCGGAGGGGCGGGTACCGTCGCTACCACTTGCAACCAGTCTGTTGCCAGCAGAGTCATTTGTGCAAGGAAACAATATTTGCACCCAACAACACAACAATTCGACAAGTATTACATTTATTCCATTAGGTTTAAGCAAAAGGTATTCTGATTTCATATGATTGTTAAATTAGAGATCTTTAGGTTGCATTTCTTTTGCGTTTAAGTTGTCAAATAAGCAGATTTATGTTTCAGTTCTTCGCTCTATTAAACAAGGGAAACAAAATATGATTGTTTGTAGTCGTTCCGAGAACACTTCTCTTTAGGGCCAACTCTTGGGAGAAGCGTTTCTTGGTAATATACTTCCTCTCTTTCGGTAATGACTTCTCAAATATCATGGAGTAAATGAATTAATAGAAAGGTATGAGCTAGTGAGTAAATGAATTAATAGAAAGGTATGAGCGAGTGAGTAAATGAAGACGCGTCTATCAAACGGAAAAAAATAAAATCTCTGTCCTTCGGGTATCTCATTGAAAGACGGGCACCTACAGTAACATCAATTCAATTTTGAGAAACGTCCCCTTACCTTAGGTCAATTTTATATGTGGGAAATCAACAAGAGATAATGAAAGTACTATGTGTAGCAGAAAAACCATCAATAGCTAAATCAGTAGCACAAACATTAGGAGGGGGTAGAGTGACCATTCGAAATACCAAAAGTAAATACATAAAGAATTATGATTTCACATTTATTTTCCCAGGAGTTGGATCTTGTGACGTTACAATGACATCTGCGTTAGGACATATTACAGGATTAGATTTGCCTGAGTGTTATGGCTGGGGGAAGTGTCCTCCTGGTCGATTATTCGATGCTGAAGTATTAGAAAAGGTGAATGAACAGAATGTATATGATAATATTACGAATGAAGCTAGGCGAAGTAATAAATTAATGATTTGGACAGATTGCGATCGAGAAGGTGAATATATTGGATATGAAATATTTAGTGCCGCAAAGAAAGGAAATTCAAGACTTCAAATTAGTGAAGTATGGAGAAGTAAGTTTTCTCATTTAGAAAGAAATCATATTATAGCTGCTGCTACTAATCCTGTTCAATTAGATATGAAAGCTGTCAATGCCGTTGCATGTCGTACGGAACTTGATTTTAGAGTTGGATTGAGTTTTACAAGACTACTAACTGATCTGTTAAAACAACGTAAACTCATTGATACCAAAAGTGTGGCGTCTTATGGAACATGCCAATTCCCCACATTGGGATTTGTAGTTGATAGATATAAGAGAGTGAAATCATTTGTACCTGAACCATTTTGGTATATTGATGTTGAAATATATAAAGAAAATAAGAAAACAAGTTTCAATTGGGTAAGAGGACATTTATTTGATAGATTATTTGTAGTCCTATTATATGAAAACTGTTTGTCCAATGACTTTGGAACAATAACAAAACTCGAAACCAAACCAAAGAATAACTGGAGGCCATTGCCACTAACTACGGTGGAACTCCAAAAAGATTGTTCAAAATTTTTCAAAATGACAGCCAAACAAACATTAGATGCTGCTGAATCATTATATAATAAAGGGTTCATTTCTTATCCAAGAACAGAAACCGATAAGTATCCAGCAAGCATGGATTTGAGATCACTCTTCGATAAACAACAACAAGATCCCACATGGGGAGCGTATGCCGCAAGCTTGTTAAATTCGGGACATGAAACTCCAAGAAATGGTTCTCATGATGATAAGGCGCATCCTGCAATTCATCCAGTGAATTATGTTCTGTTAAATTCCTTAAATACGACATTTGAAAAGAAGGTATATGAATACGTTGTGAGACGGTTTCTTGCCTGTTGTTCAAAAGATGCCGTTGGTCAACTAACACTGGCAACATTGCAATGGGGAAATGAATTCTTTACAGCAAGTGGTTTAATGGTACTTGAACGAAATTATTTGGATATTTTTATTTATAAGAAATGGGAATCTTCTAAACAATTACCAAGGTTCCAAGAAGGTGAACAGGTGAAAATCTCAAGTGGGAAGATGAAAGAAGGTAAAACTAGTCCTCCTAATCATATGACTGAGTCTGAATTGATTTCTTTAATGGATGCTAATGGAATTGGGACTGATGCTACAATTGCAGACCATATAGATAAAATAACAAAGCGAGGATATATTGCGAAACCTCCTAGAACTAATTATCTTGTTCCTTCCCCTTTGGGAATGGGATTGATCGAAGGTCTAGATAAATTGAACTTTGAGGATATTTCATTGTCGAAGCCATTTTTAAGAAGATCTTTGGAATTATCTTTACAAGAGATTGTCAACGGAACCAAAACTAAAGAAGCAGTACTTGAAGAAGTTAAACAAATATATAAGCAAGCCTTTGGTATCACTTCTCAAAAGATGAACATTTTAATTCAAGAATGTGGAAACATAATTCAACAATTTAGTTGACAAAATTGGGTGCAAAAAAAATCCGTTTTATGGCGAGAGAAGAAGAGTCTATTATATACAAACGTGGAGAGCGAGGCAAATTCTTGAGTTTAAGATTCTGGATTTATAGATAAGTATACTCATTTTGATATATTTACTCCTAAGTTAATCCTCTTCCTCTTCCATCAATCTGTAATGCTATGAGTTCTGTTTTAGTACTAGCGACTCCATATACAAAATCTAATTATAATATGCAGGAATGCGGAAATTAAAATGTAAGCGTGTAAAACAATTGAGATGTGAATTTAAATATCAATCCAATTGCAAGCAAGATTGCTAAATTGAATATCATCGAAGCATCAGTCAGGATTTACCTAGTATTTATATCCGAGAAGCACTCATAGATAAATCAATACAAACAAATTCACAGAATGTTTGGCAATCAGGGAAGTAGTGGGTTTGGTTCATCAGGTTTTGGTTCCAGTGGATTTGGTGGTGGTGGTGGTGGAGGAGCTGGAGCTTTCGGATCACAAGCAGCAGCAAGCCCATTCGGTCAACAATCAACCGCATCCACGGGATCGGCATTTGGGAATAGTGGGTTTGGATCAGCAGGACTACAGTCATCTCAAGCAGGTGGCTCATCAGGCTTTGGTTCATCTGGATTTGGAAAATCATCATTTGGGAATACACCCAGCTCTACTGGATTTGGAGGCTCTGGATTCGGAAGCTCTGGATTAGGGAAAACGACCGCAACCAGTGCATTCGGACAATCTAATACATCTGGGGGAGCATTTGGATCAACTGGTTTTAAATCAGCAGGAGCATTTGGAACAACAACATCAGCTTCACTGCCATTTTCTTCAGTAGGACAAACAGGTAATAAACCATCACCATTTGGGACTTTATCAACCACACAACCAGCATCCAATCCATTTGCAACTACTTCAACAAGCGCACAGCCTGCTTCCAATCCATTTGGAGCGGCATCCACAACTACCGCTAATCCATTTGCAGCAACAAGTGCCCAATCTACACAATCACCATTCGGAACATTGGGGACGTCTTCACCTACCCAACAACCTTCTGCGTTTGGTTCATCAACTCAACCCTCTGCATTTGGATCGTCATCAACTCAACCCTCAGCATTTGGATCGTCATCTACTACCAACCCATCTCCATTTGGAACTGTTGCTTCTTCATCAACCAATCAATCAGCATTTGGTTCGGCATCTACCCCAGCAACTTCGGCCTTTGGTCAGAGTGAACCTTCAAACCTGCCATTTGGAGCCCTAAATACGACGTCATCACCTTTTGGAGCTGCTTCTTCCGGCACTAATACCACATCTGCATTTGGAACAGCAAACAAGCCAGGCGCTTCTGTTTTTGGAGCCCCGACAACAGGTGTCAGCTCAGCGTTCGCATTTGGGCAATCGGGGAATGCACAAAAACAAGCAACATCTGCATTTGGAAGTATAGGACAACAACAAAACGCATTTGCAAGGGCGACTCCAAGAGATTTGACAACCACTACTAGTAGTGATATAATATCAGAGTCAGGAGAATTTGAAGATTTGGCTCCATCTGTTATAGAGGCGTTTAAGGCTGCTAGGTTTATGTTGGGGAGGGTGCCTGATGCACCTCCACCTGCAGCGTTATGTAATTAGAGAGGTTCTTATAGAGAGAGTGTGTGTATAATGTATAATTTTATGTGCTAATGATTCTATTTTCAATTTCAATTTTTAGTAAACCATTCAAATTCTTATATTTTTTTGGAATTTACATGTAAATAAGTTAAGTTCTGTATGTTGCAAAGAGCTTGAACTTAATATTTACAGGTTTATTTAATTTCTGATTTTACAACCAATCTAGAATATCAGTGAGTGCGAAACATTTAATTGTGTGTTGTATTTTACTGCGTATAAATTGAATCATCGAGAACACAGAGTTATCAGCATTGAAAGAGGGTAAGCAAATGATTTGTATAGAATGTGGAAATCCTGATATTGAATGTTTATACTCTCGATATAAAAGTGAATATATTAAATTAACAGTCTGTCAACAATGTCATAAAATATCAGATAAATATATTGAATATGATTTGGTCATTTTATTCCTTGATATCTTATTATTAAAGAAACAGGCTTATAGACATCTAGTATATAACAGAATGGAATCAGAAATCTTAGATCAATTATCTTCGCAACAACAACGAGGAGAACAACAGCAAAATCATCATTGGAGGAAATTAATTGATTGGTTCCAAATTTATAAACTTCATATTCGACGACTATTTGTAATAATCCTATTTGAAGTCTATTTAAAATGGGCCAATGAAGAACGGAAAACAACACATCGATTAATCATACATGCAATATTATCTCAGTCAATGCTTACCCAATATTTGTTCTTTATAATGAAGCTGGTTATTGAACAATTCATATTCAATTTTTGTATCATTGGTCTATTTCGGTACTATTGTGGATGGGGTCAATTACGATTAAACAAGAACATCCCAGACAATCATCAATTTGGATATAGTAATACAGTCCTATTGTCTACAGTAATGGTATCAAGTTCAATAAAGCTCTTTCCAATACTAATGCTTATATGGCCATACGATAGAAGTACAATTTCTCAACCTTTGATAAATACAATATGTTTCATAAATATCGTGGAAGCTCTAAGAGTGATTACCAATTATAGATATGTTACCATTATCTCAGTGGTTGGCATTTCGTTGGTAACTCAAGTGTTAATGTCGAGAGTGGTATTGGCGGTCATTTTGAAGTATTTCCTTGGGGTTGACTTTCGCCCGATTTATCTGGATGAGATGCAAGAAGCAATACTACAAGCAAGAGCTTTATTTTTCTAAAAGCCTAATATAGCAGAAGTCTATAAAAATTGTATAAAATATGAAATTAATAACTCCATTCATTATTATTTTGGGATTTACGAACGGTTGTTCCATCATAATTTATCAACAACATATCCAGTCCATCAATCGCAAGCAAAGGTCCATCCAAATCATTGACTAAATTAGGATATTCATATTTCGTATTTAATTCCCTTCTTTCATCAAGGGTTCTATCTTGTCCAGGAACATTTTCAAGATCAACCAAGTTATTAGGCGGAGGATTATTATTTTCAATTGCACGTAAGGCTATAAACAACGATAATGGGATATATTGATTTTGGAAACTCCACAAAAGGTATAATGAAATTAAAGGTAATGGAGCTAATGAAGATGCACAGGTGAATGCTTCTTGAAGTGCCAATGTCCCCACCATGGTTATTTGAAAAATTATTAACCCAAGAATTATTCTTCTGAAAACTAAAGGCCAGACTTTCCCTGTTGAATGAGGTGGATGAACACATGAATATAATAATTGATACTTACTTACAAAATATCCAATAATGAAATAGATTAATCCTGCAGTTAAGATCTTGGATGACATTACTGAATAAACTAATGTAATTATGAATATCAACATTGGCTGAGGTAATTGTAACCCGAAATCGAATACTGGTGGTTTGTATAATTTTAAATAGTCTCTTGGTGTCTTACACCAAAAAAGTGATTCAATTGGGTGAGTTATTAAATTTCCAATTAATAACAATTTAAATGGATAAATTCCTAATCCTTGTAAAATAATAAAATCAACATAGAATAATGATAAATCTTTTAATGATTGTGCTAAATCATAAGCAATTTTTGTAGTATCACTCAACGATGCCGTACCGAAAGTTGTAAATACCAAAAATAAATTCACAAAGATATAAAAGAAATTCTTTGATACTGAAGATAATTCTTCATCACTATGGGATGTGAATCCTTGTTTTGCAGATATCCAAACATAAAAAAATGGAATTATTATATTTAAAATTGTGAAAAGATATGTTGGTAATAATCCAGTTATTGCAGTTTTGGCCCATTTATTATTATGTAAAAATCTTCCTAATGAAGGCCACATTTTAGCAATACTTTTTGTGTTCAATAAACTTGCCATATATCTCACAGGATAAATCAAAAGTATACTCATAAGTCCAATAATTAAAGTCACAATAAATATCTTGGTATTTCTTTCCTTTCTGGTTAAGCATAAATTATCCCATCTAATATCATGAGGTGCTGCTGCAAGACTTGTAATTAAATGGTTTACTTTTGGGTCCAATACAGCTTGTGCTAACATTTGGGCTTGTGCCACAGTCTTCATAGTTAAGAAAGCAGTGGAAGTTCCTGGATATTCTTTGGTTCTAGCTCGGTTAATCTCTTTATCGATGACTTCTAGTTGTTCGGTATAATGAGCAATTGCATCCACTTTGGGTCCAAATATGCCAAATAACCCTTTGTTGATTTTGGGACGGTCACGTAATTCATCATTCAATAAACTTGGGACTGATGTGCTTGCTTCTTCTTCGACGATTTCCGAAATTTGATCGATTATTGAAGGGGATGGGGTTCGTGGATTGGAATTATCAGTTGCTTCAGGAGTGGATTCGTCTTCTTCGTTATCTCGGTAGCTATTATTATTATTGTCTAATCCTATCAGGTCTCTTAATTGAGGATGTAAACTGGAAGAAGAAAGTAATTGCGCTTTATTTATTATCCCCTTTTGTTGGAAATATTCTACCCAATATACTTCTAATTTTCGTAGTACTTTCTTTCTCAATTTGAATAATTTATTTAGATTTCCCCATTCTCGTACAATAAGAATTGAATCGATTTCTCCGATATTTAAACTTTCAATATGTCTAGCTAATGTAATTTCATCTCTCAATACTGCCGGTATTCCTGATACTTTAACGGTTCTGTCAGTAATTGAATTTTGTCCCCCAAGATATTTTTGTCTCATATCTATGATTTTATTAGTTTGATTAAATAAGAAATATATTGTAATTATAGTGAAAATATATGTGAATGCAACATACATCCACAGAAACAATTGATAAGATTGCTCCACATCCTCGGGAATATTTGTTCCTCCTGCTGCCATTTTAATGAGTTGTCTCATTACAATTGATGTCCCATTGTTGTTGTCATCATCATCGCCATCATCATCAGGATAATCCAGATCCAATTTTCCTGTGAATTTATACCTAATTGGTGAAATGACAAATATCGCAAGTAAAAGACAGGTACCCAATATTCTAATACACATCTTAAAAAATCGAAGAAACACCACGGCATCAAAACCAGCATGCTCTAATATCTGCAGTTCATTTATTTTATACACAATTGGAATCCAACCAAATAATGATTTTGCCGGTAGTTTCGGGAGATATTTCCTGGAAGAGGAATGTAAATAATTGAAGTTCATATGATTAAGATTGGCAACATATATTTTAGGATATCGGATTCGAAGGATTGAGAAGGCAAGGAGGGCAAATAATCCTAATGTGGATGCAATTATAATTTGATATCTGGCAACACGAGTGGAGGGTGGTCTATATCGTCCATCATCTCCATTCTCATTGGTTTCGTATAATCGTTTCTGTAGATCTATTATAAAATCAGATGCAATTTCATGGAACATTTGATGCTTGATTGTGAAAATGAAAGACTTGGTTGGTGATTAACAATTAGCTACTTCCTTATTGATTACTATATGACGGTGTAAGATCGGCTGAGGTTTAGAATTTAATTACCGATTTCTTTAGGTAAGAAAAAATGTTGTTATATACAGGATTGAGCATGTGACTTTTGAAGTTTTGCAACCCACAACCGCATTGATTAGTAGTAGAGAAGGACCTTTGAATTCAAATGGTGTTAATTGAAATAGTAAGGATTCTCTTACTTTGTTTGAAGTATCCCTGTGTCTGTTGGATTTGCTAAGTATGTTCTTTTGTGAGATGAGAGAATAATCGATTTTCATTAATTTTGCAACAATTCTCGAGTAAATTATCATTCTTACCAAAATAAAGAGGCTAAACCCACAACACCCCGATATTGTTTTCTTGAAGTAAACCGACTATTAAAACTATATCTATTGCTTCTTGTAACCCCCATTACCTTAAGTAAAGGGCAGAATGAAACAGAGTGAGACAATCGGGGCCAATAAATCAATCAACTTTCCATGTAGTTTTAATATTGCCAAAAAGTTGTACAAAAGTACACGACCCGCATCAACAGATTAAATCATAATAATACCATTTAAAGATCCAAGTGCCTCCACAGTTTTTATCTAAAGACCCAAATAACGAAGATAATATAATGAATCATTCATATAAATATACAAAGGATTTTATAGAGAAACAAGTAAAGATACTAAATGAGCCACTTGAAATAACACAGTCATTAAAAGACATACTTGAATATCAGACATATGAACCTGATGAACTACCTTTATCAGAACAGCAACTAAGTGAAATCCTAGTACGACTTAATAGAAGAATCCAAACTAGAAACAATACAGTATTCACGTCACAAGTTACTCATCAAATAGTTACTCAAATCTTGAAATTAGAACAAAATAAACTAAATATTGTCAATGAACAATTACTAAGAATAAGTCACGTATTGAAACCTATTTTAGTTCCTGATTTCAAATATTTATCTAACCAAGATCGTCTTTATAGACTTATTGAACTCGGAGATTTGATTAAAGAATTGCCCGAATCTAGATATATTTATGTATACGGAGAAGAAGAAGACGCGTCTGGTGAGGATAAGTCTGATGATGAGGATGAAGCAATGGGAACCCAAGAAGGACACAATGGAGAAATGTTGGGGAAAGATGATCAGATTAAAGCAAATTATAGAAGAAAGGTTATAAATCAGGTAAATCAATCATATCCAATAGATGAAGAAATAGTTGCCCGTTATAGTGAAATAAGAGAAGAGTTATTTGCCATACAGAGATCACTTTGCAGAAAGTTTGATAAGCTCAACTACTTAAAGGAATTGCAAGAAGAGTTGCAAAACGCTTTAGGCGTAGGGCAAGAGTCTAAAAGGGCCGCAGAAGAAGCAGATAATGAAAATATGATATATGATAGCGATGAGGAGATTTACAAGCAAGATGAGGATTCAACACAGGTAGAAGCGGATGAGTTAGACGATTCATCTGTGAATCCAAGTAGTGTATTCAATGAGATTAATAAATTTAGAGTACTTGTTGAAAAGTTGAGTCATTCAGTAGATCAAAGTACGGCTTCAGGACAGGAAATCGTACAATTGGCCAGAAGTGTAAATATCGAATAACTTACACGTTTAATATAAATATCATTATTATTAAGTGCTTTTTATTAGGAAATTTATTGATTAGTAAATATTTTATTATAAATTAAAGTATATCATATCCCTTTTTAACCCACAAATTATACAAACATTTTCAAAAATGGAAATACGGGAGGATCAAAAAAATCATCTCTGTTTGGAATAATACATTTATGCTATAATTCTATTTGTTCCTCTAATCGAATAAACCGAAACCCATATCGTCATCAGATTCTTCCTTAGCTTCTTCTTCCTTTTCTTCAGCAGCTTCTTCAGCAGCGGCACCAGAAGAGGCAGCAGCACCAGAAGAGACAGCAGCACCACCAGATGGGACGGAAGCTAACTTGGTGTTACCTTGGGCAACTAATTCAGCAATATCCTTACCTTCTAATTCAGATAATAAAGAAGAGACTCTGGATTCTTCAGCTTCAACACCGATAGTTTCTAATAAAGCGGTGATGTCAGAAGCAGATGGGGTAGTGTTACCACCTTGGACTAATAATAAGTAAGCAGCTAAATACTTCATTGTTAATGTTCTTTAAGAATAATCACTTTTAAGCAAACAAACGGCAGACTATCCTATGCTAAGTTTATAAGATGAAAAGAGGTTTTACAAAAATTTCATACAAACTCTTCTTTAAACAAAAAACGTCAAAAGACTGAAAAAAAAAAAATCACCGAAAAAATGACTGCATATAGGACAAATTTTTTAGTAAGTGTATCACGTGCTATCAGTTAGGGCTCGAAAAACGCAGTCACAAATCTTGGAAAATGTTGTCCTGCATTTAATTTTGTATGGTATTTGATCACGTGATCCGAAAATTCAATCAATGTGCAGTCCATTCAGAATTTTTTTTTCACCCACCTAACAAATTCTCTCCCCTAACAAACCAAACACTTTCGGTACAGTCTAACAAATTCTCATTTCATAGTAATCGAAAATTTTTTAATTCTTCTTATAAAGATTTTTGCTCTTTTTTGAACCTTTTAAGAACATACCATAAAGATCCAATCAATATGTCCGAAGCTGGTATGTACATATAGGAGAACCAGAGATAGGGGAGAATCAACTAGACCACGACTATGACTACCACGATTTAAAACGAAGTATTGAATGCACAAACCATGAATTATTCAAAGTGGAAAATTGTCAAATGAAATGAGTGAATCAGTATGGAAGAGTAAAGTATGAGAAGACCACGTCAAACAGTCAATATATAAAAATACCACTACTAGAATCAACGCAAATTTCGTACATAGACATCTACCATAAATCTTCATTTACGATCGTTGAACAATCAAGTCAATTTCCAACTATAAAATTTTCAATAATTGAAATCATGCCAATTTCACATTTTCATACTACCACTTAATAGAAACTCATATAATGATTCATGCAATCAATATCTAGTTGACCTCCTTTTATACTGAAAGAAATTTATATCTGTTCCCAAAATACTAACATTTTTTTTATAGCTGACAAAAAACAGAGAAGAAACTTCAAGACCTTTTCCTTCAAGGGTGTCGACTTAAAAGACTTGGTTGAAATGTCAACTGAAGACTTCACCAAGTTATGTGGTGCTAGAGTTAGAAGAAGATTCTCTAGAGGTTTAGACTCCAAGCCAATGGGTTTAATCAAGAAGTTAAGAGTTGCTAGAGCCAACACTCAACCAAATGAAAAGCCAGCTACCGTCAAGACTCATTTAAGAAACATGATTGTTGTTCCAGAAATGATTGGTTCTGTTGTCGGTGTCTACAACGGTAAGGTTTTCAACACTGTTGAAATCAGACCAGAAATGGTTGGTCACTACTTAGGTGAATTCTCCATTACTTATACTCCAGTTAGACACGGTAGAGCTGGTAACGCTTCTTCCAGATTCATGCCATTAAGATAAGTGTTTTAGTCTTATGTTTATTAATTGTATTTTATAGTATTTAATGGTTTTAAATTTTCGGAGAATCAAACACGCATAATCAACATCCCACACAAACCCCCTAACCCAACCCCCCCTTTATATATGTAAACAAATGTATATAAAACGATTATACAAATAAATATCACGTAATTTGAATTCTCGACATTTGGTTGTCTTCAATTTTTGTGTAAGCTTCCTGTCAATTCTTAATAGAACCCTATCTATGTAAAATTACGCCGCAGGAGTTACACCGCGCTTAATTTCTGATATAATTACAAAATTTTTTCAAAGGAATATTTAAATCCCATCCCAAATCACATCCCTCGAGAAATCCTCTTTAATTTCTAAGCTAAATACAGACTATAGAGGAATCATGGAAGTCACATCCTCGACTTCAATAGTGGATATCCCACTCCCGCAAGATATAAAACCCAAACATGAACATATGCATCCAATTAAAGAAATTTCCATCGGGGCTATTTCTGGTATGATTGGTAAATTAGTTGAATTCCCCTTCGATACTATAAAAGTCAGATTACAATCCTCAAATTCCTTGCATCGAATCTCCACCTATCACATGATAAAACTGACATATCAAAATGAAGGGTTCTTTAATGGATTTTATAAAGGATTGAAAGCACCTTTAGTTGGAGCTTGTTTGGAGACTTCAATCTTGTTTACTAGTTATAATTTTGCATCTACCGTATTGGTAAATACACTTAAAGATCAAGCTCAATCTACGAAATATCATACTGAGAGTTTACCATTCTGGTCAAAATGTGTTGCTGGGGGGTTTGCAGGTTTAATGGCATCATTTATATTGACACCGGTAGAACTCATAAAATGTCAATTACAAGTAGCTAATTTGGTATCCCATGACAAAAGTTCAGCAACGTATACTTCATTAATTAAATCTACGATAAGAGAAAAAGGTATTTCTGGATTGTTTAATGGATTATCATCGACTGTAACTAGAGAAGTCATAGGAACATCAATTTGGTTTGGGACTTATGAATATATTAATGATTATTATAAAAAAGCCAAAGATCCATGGATTAAGAATGAAAATATACAATTATTGTTAAGCGGGGCCATGGCCGGGGTGACGTTTAACTTATCGATGTTTCCTGTGGATACTATTAAATCCAATATTCAAACACATGGAATGTTTAATACTGGTCTGAAACGTAGTGCTGGGTTTTGGTCTATAGCAAAATATCTTCTTGCAAAAAATGGTGGGATTCGGAATTTGTATAATGGGTTAGGAATTACTATGATACGGTGTATTCCAGCAAATGCATTAATCTTTTATAGTTATGAAGTATTGAAAAGAAACTTCTAACCACAACAATCAAAAGTAATCATAGATTATTTATAATTTGATTTTTTTATAGAAAGTAATATACATTTAGAATGGGTTTTTAGGTAAACAATTGTTCGGCTTGCTTCAAATCATCAACATTGAGTAAATCGGATCCAAGCTTAAATAAATCCTTTAGATGAGAGTCACGAATCCCATAGGGCCAAGTAACGTCGCCCCATACTCTAGTCTTTAAACCGTACTTATGTGCCATGTCAATATGGCCCTTTATCTTTGTTTTTTGTTTGTCATTAAATGGACGGGTTTGCGCTTTGTGAGTCTTACCACCAAGTAAATGATGCAATGAAGAACTAGCAACCCTACACATCTTTGAATAATTTTTCATAAGCTCCGGATCTTGATCTTCGTGGAAACTCGAAAGTGGAGCATCTAGAAATACATATCTTACTCTCTCATTCTCGACTTCTACTATGGGTAAGTTTCCCGTAATCGTGAGTATCAATGGTCCAGGATAGAACGTTCCAGTAGCGGAGTCATAATGTGCAAGGAAATTATTATCTATAAAAGGTTGTAATAAAGGACGTAATGCCTTATAGGTGTTATTCGGCTCGGTCTTGAAATCAAACCATAAATAAACCGGCTCTTCTGGTGAATTAAAATAAACGCCATTCTTCTCGGCCAACAGACTGTCTCTCCAGCTGGATTCTGACGTCTTGGGGTTTGTATATTGAAGAAATTGAAATAATGGGTTCAAATATAGATTGAATAATGTATTAATTGGCTTTAGGAAAATCTCGCTATGTCCGACATATATCTCGTCATTCCTAAAATACAACTTTTGTTGTCTTTCAACTTGTGATATTTCATTATCATCGGTTGTTGTTGTCTCAGTCAATGTTCTATCAAGCGTAAATCCATTAGGAAAATACCAAATATCACTTTCAATACTACGACAACCAACACTCAATGCATCAAATAATGGATTCTCTCTCCAATAGTCATTATGGGAATGAAGTGGTTTGATGTAAACATCTCTAGTCAATCCTTCTACAGTATGTTTGATGGGAATAATTGGGGTTTTTGGTGTATTGCCGTTATATTCTATACCTCCTGGCGATTGGGAAAACATGGTAGTATCGCTTTGAAGATGAGAAGGATACTTAAATGCGTTGATCATATGCAATTCAGAAGTCAATTGATTTGGCGACTAACCGATCTCTTCAGGAGAAGAAGAAAGGGATGTGGTATTTTTTCACAACATCCCTTTCGCGGGGCAGATTGCTATCCCCCACTTTTTTTCGTCAAGATTTTAATGTAAGATGGGAATTTCTTGGTTGCAAAAACTATTGCAACTTTCCAATTGGTTGCAAAAAATGGACTTCACAAGATATTCATTCAGGTTACTCATTGTCACCTTTACATGTGATACCTGATTTCTTCAACGAATTGATTAACAACTTTGTTTTGACTATACTTTCAAAGATTTTTTTTTTTCAAGTTTTGTTGTTCATGTCACTCGCTGGATAAGACTCGGGTCACACAAGACACACGAGAAAACGGTATCCAAAGAGCTTGTCTTAATCTCTACAACTACAATAAAATCATTGATCCATTTAAAATAAATAAACTGTGAGATTCTTCACGTGCGATACACACATATATAAGATACAAAATGAGAGATTCTAAGCTCTTCCAATCAAAGCTGGATTAGCTTTCTTAATGTTTATCATTCTTAAGATTTCAACTAATTTCACACTACCAACCAATAATTCTTCCTTGAAATAAAACAAGAAAGCGGCAGTAGAAATGGATTGAACTAATTTAACCAATAATCCACCATATAACCCTTCTAACCCTTCTTCTCTGATAATCTTTCTAATTTGTTGAATCATAGATAATTTTTCATCTTCAGATTTAGTTGCCTTCTTTTTAATATGCATTCTAGCCTTTAAGGTAATATATGGATAAGTTAAAGAAGTAGCAATTAATTTACCAAAAGCACCAATGAGAAAGGCTTTCTTTGAAGTAAATGATTTAGGACCATTTTTGGCAATGATAACATTTTTGATTTGTTCAAAGATAGTATATTGAATAATTGGATTAATAACCAAAATTAATGCAGGTAAAACACCAGCAAATAAAGTCCCAACACCATCTTTTTCAATAATATCAAGAAGAGCTTTAAAAGTGGAAGAAGAAGTTTTTCCTTCACCTTTCTTCTTTTTTTCAGTCATCATTCTAGTATTAGCGACCCAGAATGGATTTGAACCAACACAAGTAACTGCACCTGCAATGGCACCAGTGATAATCGATTCAAAAGTAGTCAAACCTCTTTGGTGTGATTTTTTAGATTTTAAAAATAAATTAGCTGTGAATTCATAAAAGTAATAATAAATGAAATTAGTTAAAGTGATACCATATAATGCACTTTCTAAACCAGCATATAAACCAGTAATACCCTTTTCACGAATAATTTCTTTAGTTGCTAACCAAGATGGATTATTCCTTAAAGCATTAAGAATCTTTGCTTGAGTGGTTGGACTAATTGTAGCTTTCAATTCTTGTTCATCCTTTTGTTTCTCTTCCTTTTTCTTTGCTGCAGTTTGAGCTAATGTGGATAAAGTAACTAAAGGATAGGTGACTATCATAGATAAGGCACCACCACCAGCACCAGCAATAGCATGGGCTATTTCATCATTGCTTGACATTGTTCAGGATATATGGAATTGATAACAAAAAAGGAATTGAAGGATTCTTAATTAAAATTTTTCCTAGATCTTGTAAAAAGGAGGGAAAAATCTGGAAGGTTTCATATTTTGAGTTTTATTTTCGGTAAAATTAATGATACCGAATATCAGAGCAAACCTTTTGTTTGATCAGCCGGGTGTTAACGCTTTTTTCCATTATTGAAATTTAACCCACGGTTAATCTTGTTTAATATTTTTTTTGTTTTTTCACATGGTTTATATGTAGGAATGTGGGGACTACAATGGGTCTCTCTATCTTGCGCGTTTTAGTGAAACCTTAACTAAAACTGATATTGACCAAACCATTCACATACTCTCCATTAATTTCAAATTGACAACCAAATGAATCAGATGCCAATAGACTGAGGTCGATAAAGACTTCCCATGATAATCTAGGGAATGACTGACTTGAATTGTTTGGAAGAGTTTGTTTGGAAACAGTCAATGCTAGTTAATCTTTCACACGAACTCACAATAACCGTCCTTCCTCATTGATATTACCTTTTTAGATTTATAAAGAATATTCGGATACTTACTCCGTAGTTATGATGTTCTTAAGTAAAGGATTTATTTGCAACATGAGATCAAATGGCTGACTGAAGAGTTTTACAATCACTTCAATTTCTGACACCAATTACACGACCAAATCCCAGCTATACAATTTTTTTCTTTCGGGTGTGTGTTGCAAGATTAATAATTAACATCCAATTAACAAACCCCGAAAGATCAGCAAAAGGGATCATTTATAGCAACAAACATACAAATGGAAACACGTAAAGCATTCTTCACCAAGTTAGGTTTATTCGGTGCTACTGCACTTACAATGTTCATTGTTGGTAAAAAACATATATCCATTCATAATGAAAAAAGACATCGTGCTGAAACTGATGCTCGTGTAGATTCAGATGATAATGAATTTGGAGTACAAGTAAGAAGACCAGGATTCCCAAGAAATAATCCAACTATGGATTATTCTGCTGGTGAAAGATTATCAAAATTTGAAGCAAAGGGAGATGCTTATTCTACTAGAAGACCTGGGGATAGATTATCAATGTGGGCTACTATAAAACGGTGTTATTTTGGTGATGATGAAGAAGAACTGAAATATTTCTCACCAACTCCTGAAGATAAGATTAGAAAGTGATACATATATATAGCTTATCATGTGTTGAAGTATAGAGAGACAATTGTAAATAGTTACTTAAGAAACGAGTAAAATAATGAATGTACATTATATGAACCATACAAATATCTATAGATTAATTGAGTAAATCATCAAGGGCTAAATCATAAACTAAATTGGATTTCAAGAAATTATTAACACACCATCCGCATACAAAATTATCTTGTAGTTCTTGTAAAATCATCACTACATTTGATTTGATCTGATCATCTTGATTAAACAAATTTAATAACAATAATTCAATACCTTTATTCTTATCAAATACCGTCATTGCACCTCCATGTGAAGTGGTCAGTATACTTGCTGATGATACCGCTGGAATCAAATATGTCATCAATAAAAAGATCTCTAAAGATTTCCCACTAATTAAAAACTTTAAAATGTTATACCAAATTTCATGTTCATTGATTTTAGTTTTATCAATTGAATTGAGACTTTGTAAATGATGTTGAATATCGACCATCAAATTCAATTCATTGGCTAAATTAGGTAATAATAAATTGTAAACTAATTTCCCTTGATATAATAAATCTTGAAATTTCTTGGTAACCAATTGATAACATGAAACTTCCAATAATTTAGTAGCATCACTTGACCAATAATATCCTATCCCATCAAGTAACAAAATAAGATCACGATCTTTTGGAGTTAGACTTGTATTAAAGTTCTTGGAACTTAAAAGAATCCGTAGAATTTCATTTATATGTCTTCTAAAAATCAATTGAATTGTAGTTAAATCATCATTATAACTAAATAATGATAATTGTAAATTTGATAGAAATCTTGCATCTTCAGATATAATGGAGTGTTTATAATCTATCCATTGACCTTCAAGTTGTGTACTTATGAATAATTCATTATCATCTAAATCATATAAGACATCCCAGAATTTATCATTTTCTTTAAAGAATGGATTTATTGTACCTGCAATAAATGAATCACATCCATTTAATAAATCAATCTTGGAAACATCGATAATTGGAAATATATTATAATTAGTTAATAATCCACATAAGATACCTCCACCAGTTATCAATTTTAATAATAATAGAATATGGTCTATTATATAACCTGAAGATTCTTCATAACTTACAAACATAATTCTTTTACCTGTTAAAACAGCATTAATCAACACGATAATTGGAGGAGTTTGTAATCCATAAATTGTTAATTCATTATGTAAACGATTTGAACCTAATCTTGCATTCAATATATTAATTGCATTAGGTTTGAAATTTAAATCAGTTGGATTAAGATAATCTCCAATAGTATCAGGTAAATCCAATAAGGGGATTCTAACGGGTATATCCATTTCATTAAATGAAATAATTGAATTAAAACTTAAATCTTTTCTAATAAATAAATCTTCATTTATAGTTTCATTCATTTTAATTCCTAATGCTCTTTTTCTAAATTCTGAATCATTATAAATTTTATCATGAATTGGTAAATCTAATATTGAAGTTATTAATAATTTCTTAATAATGGATATTGATTTTATTGATTTTGATATTATAAAGTTTTTAGCATTAATTGATTCATATAAATTTTTCAATATTTCAATACTATCAGTTTTAAAATATAAATCTAAACAAATCAATAATAAAGGTTTAAAATTCTTAAAATATGGAAGCTTAGTGATTATTGATAATGATTTGATTTGTGATCCTCTCTTATAATTCTCATCTTTCTGATTTTGAACAATCGTATAAAGGAAATATGGTTTATCTTCACATACTTTCTCTTGATATAAATATTGAAATTGTTTAGTTGATTTATTCTTATATAACATAAATAAAGTAAAATCTTCTTCTCGTTTATGGATTTGATCCGGAAGCATTAACTCAGGCAAGAAATATAGATTATTGATACCAGGTAATTCATGAGGATATTGATGGACTAATGAGGGTCCTTTATCTATATGGAATTCTGCGGTCACTATATAATTTATATTAGGCATCTCTATTTATTTGTTTTGTTTTTCTTAGGTAAATCGACGATCTATTGGTAGTTATGTGTGTGGAAATGGATGTTATCCCAAGTCAGAGCTCTCGTCGTTCTTTCGGAGTGTATGATTGGTGGAATTACACTTCTGCAGATTGACGAAATAAATTTGATGAGATTTATTGTTAACAACCGAGAAATCTAAAAAAACTGCGACAGGATCACAAAAAATAATTTCACGAGAAATAAACACACAATTCTCCTTTCAATATTACCACTCTCGGGTATTGTTGCAAAATAAGACACATATGACGCGACTTAGGGTCCAGAGGGCACATTCACTCAAGTGAATAAGTTTGGCAAACTTACAGGGACATCTCCTACAATTATTTAACAATAATACACAAATGCTTTTTTATTACCACTTTCTTTCTTTCTTTCTTAAACAAAGTTACAATCAACTGATAATCCTACACATAGAGAAAATAATCAAAATTACAATTTCGAAACAAGAAATATACCTCATCTCACTTAATTTTCGAAATAATCGGCCATTTCTTGATCTAACTGTTCAACAGTCTTCTTTTCCTTCTTAGCTGGCTTGTTCTTCTTCTTTTGTTGTTGTTTCTTCTTTTGAACAGCAGCCTTGGCAGCAACAACTTTTGGACCTTTACCAACAGAATTGGCAACAATTCTAGCAGCTAATGGTTTCTTACTTGGATCAACAATTAATTCTAATTTTAATTTATTAGCACCATTATCGATTGGAGCACCATTATATTTTTCAACAGCTAATCCAGCGTGTTTATTGTCTTTGAAGATAACAGTGGCAAAACCTTTGAATTGGCCCTTTTCGTTATAACTCAAAGCAACTGTTTGGACACCACCGACTTGAGATTGGAAGAAATCCTGTAAAAAAAGAGAGAATGTTAGTCGTAAAATCATAAAATATAAACAATTGGAAAACAAAATATGAAGGGAATATCGGGTTTCAAACTTTCCTTTTTCGATTTTTGGTTTTGGGATCCTTTCTTGGTAGCAAACAAGGGGTTGATTATAAAAAGAAAATGAAATTTTGCATTATTTTGAATCAGGGTATAAGGATTTTGTAATAGGATTGTACTTTTTGAAAGTCTGCATGCTGTGGTAAATCGTTGAATCATTCAACCTTGTTTCCACATTATCATTGACCATTTATCATACTTGGAACTGTTTAAGACACAAACACAAACACAACTAAATTAAGTTCTCATCCGCCAAGATGTGTTACTCACAAACTTAATTGGAATAACGATGCATAAAAATAGTACAAGTTCCGTTCTGAATATTCACAATGGTAATGCAGCAGCAGTATCACAAATTTGATTAGATTTTGAAGCAATTTAAGCACACAGGCCAATTAAAAATATTACTGCCAAACATTATTTTCCCCAAAGAATTTGTATTGACCCATATAATCAAAATGCTGGACTTGGATACTGACAATCTTTTAATATACCTTTCAACCAAAAACAAAAACAACAAAATAATCATTCAAAGAACTGAACACAACATGTGTCAAAATGAAAATGAAAAAAAATAATGCAATAAGTGAAGAATTAAATTTGAAAAAAATGAAAAAACAACCACCCCTTTGCTCCAACGGATTACCCAATAAATGTATTTTGCATGGCAAGATACTAGTCTGATGATCGAATGCTACGACTCGTATCAATGACTGGAGATAGCATTTTTTTTTGTTAAAAATATTTGGAAGTAAACTTTGAAAATCTCCGTTTATCATACATTCCAAATAGGTGCCCAAAAAAATATCATAAACAATGATCATCCAGATGTATCACCATTGGAATTCTGTCATGTTTATCCCTATCCCATAAAAAAAAGCATACCCAAAAATGATAGACCTTAACTCCCTTCCATTTGTTTTAGCCAACAATGAAAATCAAAAACATACCTTAATATTTTCTTGTCTTAAATCCTTTGGTAAACCAGAAACACTAACCTTGGTAGCATAACTGACATCAACAGCTCTAGCAGCAGCAGCGGCAGCAGCGACAGGGCCACTTTTTTTGAATGAAACAATTTGCTTCTTGTTTTGAGAACCACCGACTTTCTTACCGACACGACCGGCTTTGCCACCAATCTTGGAACCTGGTCTGAAGTTCTTTCTTCCCTTGAAGTTGGTAGGCTTCTTAGAAGAAGCAATGATATCGTCTAATGATTTATCTAAGGAGGCGGACATTTGGTAAACTATTTTAGTTTGATTTGTGTTGTGTTATGTGTGTAAAGACTTCTAGAAAACAGAAAGTGGGTGGGTTAGCAAAGTTTTTGTTTTTTTGAGATTCTGCTGGTTGTTGGTTGTTGATGGATGACAAGAAAAAGATGAAAATTGTTGTTCCATGATTTACACATTCTGTAATTTACTGCGGCTGAAAGTCTGGCTACTCGGTGGTTGCAAAATCTTTCCATGTGGAAACATGTTCTGTCATGTTGTTTTCTTCTCCATAGAAACCAGAATAATATGATTCTAATTTATAACAATTATTAGTTGTCTCCAATAAACAGAACAGCTTGTATTCCAAAAGTTGCTTGAAGAATTCATTATAAAATTTACGAATAATAAATATTAATTCTTGCAGCCGTAGTAGCTACTACCAAAGAGATTCGATATCCTTGATAGGCTCTTCACCCGATTCGAAGGAATCTAGAACTCAAAGTTATTAAAACACTTAGCAAAGGGGTCATTGATTTATGTAAGTCTAAGATAAACTTTAAATTGTACTAATCATGCGGCACGCAATTTCTCTAACAAAACTCAGGTTTTCTGAATCAATACAAAGCTAGCCATCCAAACAATAGGAAAACAAGAGCAAGCTGCAATTCTCAAATTGAGGGACAGTGAGAACTCATCATGCATGGCTGCATGCTTCCAACTTATACATTGTTGAATGGATCGAGGAGAAGACACCCTGTGAAGGTGAGGTCAGATGATAGGATTCGGTGTGGTACTGCGGGTTTTGGTTGTGTCGCGTCCGTTTTTTTGCAACTAGGAAAACCACTACTCTAAGAGTATCATTTGCTGAATTTACTAGCCAATCACAGGTGTCCGTTTGTTCCTTTGAGATTAATTTTGAATGGATTAACTTTGCTGAGCAATAAGCTAGAAGGTTCATAAATTGAAACATTTGAGGTTTATTAATTGAAACATATGTCTCTGATATTTTTTTTCCAAACCTCAAAACACAGAGTTGAAATCAAAACACCAACAACATTCTTCAGAGATGGACAATCTTGATTGTTTATTTAACAATCATGGACCATGAAATACTAGTGAAAAATGTACTTTCAACTGAAGTGCTTGAACAACTCTATGAACTGGAGTTCATAGAAGGCGAATTGGAAGACAATGTTGTCCAAGTGAATACGAGACGTGACAGATCTCATTTGAATGGGTTCTCGCTCCCAAATGAACCCCAGATACAGAATGGCAATGATGAGGATAATCGGGACAATGAAGTGCGTATGGATGAGTTTTGCTTTCAATATGCACAAGAAGATGATAACAGACCATATCCGCGTGTTACGTATATGAGTGATGACAGGAATGTATTTCTCATAGAAATTAAACGAGGAAGTACTATGAAGAAATTCATCTATGTATATGGTTTAATCGTTGATGAAAACAGAAAGCTTATTAATCTAAGTGTTAGATTCAGTATGAAGAATAAAAGTCTCCTGAAAGTACTTGAAGAACAAAACTGTCCTTTAATTGATTTATCGAGCAAATGGAACAAGGAAACTGAACTATTTGCCTTTAATCATCCTGTAATATGGAAATATGCAGCTTCCAGAAACTTCGAAACTGAGATCATTGAGAATGATACAAAGCAGTATCGACGATTAGTCAGGTACCCACTGAGAAGGAAGGATTACCATCAGATTAGAGGTGCCCTAGTCTATACACATTCCAAACACTCTTTTGTTGTTTACACTCCAAGCCATAACGAACAAAGCAAAAATCATATCAATTTAAGTTGCGAGGAAATCAAAGCTAGAATAGATAGAACCTTTCAAGAGATTGACTTTACTAATGCTGATCTCCAAAGTCTTTTGACGGGAATCGATACAGACAAGATTAAAGAAGGTGCCAGTATTTACAAATTGGCTCACGCAAGAGTGATTTCCGACCCGAATTCAACGGTATTTAAATCTCCTAATGGGGATAGTATCTTTAAGGATTATGACGAGGAGATGGTGGATATATACTCCAAATACTTCGGTCAGTTTTACAGCTTACTTTACTGTTTTGGAAGCTTTCCTTTCATTTCAGTTACTTGTACCGATGAAGGTAAACTGATTATAGTTGACCTCATTCAAGCAAAAGAGGAAGACCGGGTTGAGATAATTATTGATCTATTCATGCATTTTAATTCAGAACACGGAGGCGCGTTTTTCAAATCATTATTATATCCCTACTTGAGAAGGCTTTCAGATGGAAATTATCCAGGCGTGTTGACCCTCTTAGTGAAGCTTGAAGCAATCATGAACTTTTATAAATATTCGATATTTCTACAATCATCAAATCTAGAAATTAAGACATTTTCAAAAGGGAAATGGGAACATGATTATATGGGCTGGTATTTCATTGCTTCATTTTATTGTGGGTTACTAAATGAACGTGCCAAATGGGGAATTGCTGTCGAGGAGAGTGGAAAACCGGGCCAGTGCTTAGTTAATGGTCTTTTGGTTAAAAAAGATGACATCACTTCCACTTATCTTAAAGCAGCATCATTTTACGATCAGAAATTCGAAGAGTTATGCCGAATCACAGATTGCAAGGTTTTGATGGACGAGATATTTGATGAATATTTAAGTAGATCAA